TCAAAAGAACAGCTGTACAGGTATCTCAGCACGAGTTGTTCCAACCAGACTGGTTGTACCCCCAAAATCGTGCTGGGATCTCGACTTGCTGTGTTCTCGACATCCTCTTCCTGTGATTCCAGAAGCTGCAAGAGGACCTGTTCTATGGCGTCCTGTTCTTCCTCACTGACCGGCGTGTTAGTGAAGATTTGTCTGTCCTCGTGATCCTCACCAGCCGATGCGATCCACTCAGCCAGTAGCTCTTCCGGTAGCAACCAAGAGCCCCGCTGGTCCCCATCTGTCACATCGAAGCAGATCTGGCCCAGCAAGAGGGAGTGCTCCTGAGATGGAAGCACTTTGCGGAGGACCGGCTCCCACATATTAAATTGACCCGCATCCTGCAGCGCCACCACGTATTCAGTTGACACGTCAGTCCCCAGGCCTCCTCCCTGTGGGCCTACTGTTGGAAGCGCTGCATCGTGGCCCACCACTTCTGGGGCAGGCAGCGTGGGTTTACCGCAAGCAACACCAGATATACTTGGCTTCATCTGGGTTCCATGATCATCGCAAGGTATGCACTGTAGGCAAGCGCTCCTAGCAGTGGAGCTACTTTGATGTCTTTCATTGTGTTTGCCAGTATCCAACGAGGGAGGAGAAGCCTCATACGTGACAGCAGCGTTACTAAACGTGCATTCGGCAGGCCATGAAGCTGAAGGAGGTGAAGATGCGCTAGTTTCCTCCAAGCCAACGCGGCTTGACAGTGATTCCATTGCACCCGTAACTACTTTGCAGCGCAGATTACTCGCGAAGAGTACGCAACTGCTACTGAAGACTGCAAGTGCGTGGCGTGAGGTCCTGCAGAGCCTTAAACTTGCACTCGAGAGAGAATGGGCATTGTTTTCTCAAAAATCTGAATGAAGTAACCGGGTGAGTCGTCTGCAGGCCTGACAATCTCGGTACGCACATGCGGAGTGTTGTGAGGAAAAGGATACAGTGAGGGAAAGAAATGGTCAAATTATGCCATTACACTGCAACAGCATGCTTGCTGAATGCGCCAAATATTCAGGGTGGAACTGGGACATTACTAATCATCAGCTCCTGAGCCGGTTGGAATTCTGAGAAGATGCTGACAATGCGGATTGCTCCAGAAATGAACGCGAAAAACACGCGAGTCACTATAACCTCAAATTTACACAAAATGCACAATTGCTCAGAATATAGGGTCGGTAGAATCCCTGTAGCGGGTTCGCAACCCCACATGGGCTGGTGCGACTAGGAACCCGTCTGCTAAGGAGTGCTGGGATTTAGTCGGTCGATGGCACATTCAGTTTTTCTCGCTACATATTTCGTTTCCAAACGACTATGTATTGTTTGGAGTTTCCGTATATGAGAGGCACTTTCTCTGGCCGCACTGAGCCACTGGAATGGTCCTGGCCACACTGAACCCGCCTTTTTCGTATGCAGTGAAAAACCTCCGTTTCCAGAATTTCTCACGCCAGATTGTGGCAACTATTTGCGCCTGCAGCGGTCTTCAGTGGGTAAATTAGTTTGGTTAGCGCTCATGAAAAGTTAGTGAGTTTGTTGTTGACGCGCAGGGGTTCACTCTATTTCCTTGCAGGCACGCCACGTAAGAAAGGGTCTGCGTCCACATTTCGAAGCACCTCTCTACACATTTATTTGTTTTTGCCGAGGCCGAGTTGACTAGCTTCGCAGTGGTCAACGCTCTGATACTTGGCTTGGTTGGTTCAACACGTTGAGGTCAACAACGTGCGGAGTAAATCGGAGTAAATCTTGTGCATGAATTTTCAGAGAAAAGTAGAAACAATCCGCTCTAGTAGTGGGGCACCTGAAATTGTGGTTCTGGGAAGCACAGTGTTTTCAGGCTTCCGTTTTATTCATAAATGTGGTGCACCACTACCGGCGAAAAAAAAGCCCGGCATTCCCTCTAGAAACGGAAGTTCAGTGATACCTACAGCATCGCCTTTTGCAGCTCATCCACTGAGACCAAAAAGTTAAGTCGGAATATCCTGCTCCTGGAATATATTCCGTAGAGGCAACTCGGTGGAAGGCTAGTTAAGTGGGCGCCTTGTTCACAAACAATATCTGCCAGCAATGACCAGATGCTTTCATAGCAGTCCCAGAAAAATAATTCTATGCCTCTATGGTTAACCTGTTAATTAAAGCTTGCATACAGATTACCAGAACTGCGCCTCCGCTCTTTGCGAATCCTTGCATTGACACTCCTCCTGGCCTGCACTGCTCTCAAGAAAATCAAACTCTTCTTGCTGGGCATGGAAGCTTCCTCGGGCCTTTTCATTTTCTCTTAAGTGGAATTTCGCGCGGCGATGACCCTGTGGGCTTCTTTTTCATGTTGGCACCACAGTTTTGCACGCGAGATTTACTAACTGCACTACGGGAAGGTCTGCGAATTCGGTCTCTACTCGATCAACAAGCAAAACAATTACCGGCCAGTAGACTCTTGAATAAGGCGGCGCCTCAGAGCAAATTGTATTTTTGTACTCTATCCCAACAAGCTGTCAGTAGTGAGGAGGCACAATCTCCTGCCAATGCTCATCGTTAAAGCAACCTGAAGTACGATGACTTTTTAGCGGAAGCGAGCTGAATGTCTGGGCCTCACTCTGTTCTACGCAAAAAGAGTTCAAAAGCCCATTATCTTGCATCGATATTTCTTGAAAGGATGACAGCTTGCCAGGGACAAGCAGCGTGGCACGGAAAACCCATGATGGAATCCTTTCGCAGTGAGGCATTCATGGACATCTGCATTCTCCTCAAGAACAGCAGAGGCACACTGCACGTAGGCATTATGCACTTCAGTGCGCTAGATTGGTTACTGTAGATACGCGAGTGCAAGAAGATGCTATCTTTTGGCTAAGTGAACAGATTAACATCTGCTTGCACTTTGGCTAAGTAAACAAAACTTGCCACTATTCGAAGCAGCCAGTTGTGCTGAAGTCACGCGCATCAACACGGCAGCCAGCATCGCTCAACCAGCACGCAGTTGTTGCCAGGAAAAGCATCATGCTAAAGTAGGCGAGCTACAGCTCTGGACGCATCGAAGAGTTTAGCATTAGTTTTTCTGTCGATTACACTCATTCAACACTCAGCATCTCATACAAGGCGCTGGGCGCCATGGAAGCCAGGTGCCAAGGTACAATGACTGCCAATGGGGTTACCGAAGCTCCACAACTATTCACGAGGAATAACCTGTAAAAGACAAAAAACGATCGCAGCATAAAGCAAAATGTGTGGCCTGTCACGTGCAGCGTCACTCCGTTGGTTTCATTCTTCAAGACTGTCTGCGCATTTGGCAAACTTCTTTCAAAGAAGCATGGAAGGGCTCGATAAACGCCGGAGTCACGTGCACGGTTAAGGCTTCAGGAAGGCTCGTGACAACACGGGGCAAATGTGGCCGACTTTTGAGTGCCAGAAAGCTGGGAATGCGAAGCATGGACCCCAAAACATGAGCGCTGCTGCAGGTTAGGGAGGATTGAAAGGCGATAAAAAATTGAAAACTGGGCGGAACGAAAACACAGAGACATGGTTAGAGCCAAAATCAAAAGCAAGTGCGGCCAGCAGCTCTTTCGCCTCCCAGAGAGACCACTACCTCGAAGTATAAATAATTTACACCGGAATAGTATGAGCAGCAAATGCCCCTCATTGTATTTGCTTCTTATGTCTGCATAGTAAAAATATCAGCACGAGCATAACTCAACCATGATAGCTTTCACGTCTTCGCGCATCATCTACGTTGCAGAAGCCGCTCGCATACACCACTATCGCTCTGTAACAAAGGCCACATCATGCAGTTTTGGCATTAAGAAACACACCACAACTGGGTTACAACGTACTACAGCTGTCCAAAATCACGAACTGCAAGTACAATCCAAGTATGTATCCTATGTGAAAATGCAGTTGGCGCACATAAAGGTACGAATAGTTTGAGTGTCTACTCAGTAAGACTGAAAAAGGACTGTTAGATCCACTCCGTCAGAATTCATATCCTTACACCTCAAGCTGTGCTTCCACATGAAACTAAAAAAAACACCGTAAGTAGCTCCTAATTCTACTGCCTGCAGTGTCTCCATTGTCCAGCTACACTTGACACACGAAAAGCAGCGTCGCAGCATGGAGAACAAAACTTTGCCTCCGTCATTTGGATGCTGCCACTGAATCGTGCTGGCTCCCCGCATAGTGCCTGCTAGCAATTAGCATGCTAGTTACAATCGCGTGACTCCTCTTTCGTTGCGTCTGGCAGCAGCTTACATATAGCGGCTGCTGGCCCGGCTCCCCCTCCACTGGTGCAGCAACCGGAGAGGAAACAAAGAATTTTTGACAGTTCCAAACTGGCGAGAACTTGTTCTATGTATGGGCGCTCATGGCGAACAGGCTGATTAATTGATGAACTTGATTTTACGGGGCACATAACTCTTGAAGTTTGCGACTGATTCCAACAAAGTGTCCAGGATTTTCCGTTGAAGTGTAGTGACGAGAGAACATCACCCGCTTGGCCAAATGCTGCTACTGCTCAGGGGCGAGCTGCTTGAGGGATCCTACGACGCAAGCGACGGCGTCTGTGGACGGCATTAGGGTCAGTTGCGCTATATCTGCAGCAAAAAGCAGATGCATCTCGCCAGCAGATTCCTAGTCCTCTCCGCTGCCTAAATTTGCTGAATTTCCAGCTCCCTTAACTTCTTCTAAACGTCAGTTTATATTTCTGTGTCACTGAAGTGTGCTTGTTTGACAGATGCGCCAGCGCTTGCTGCTGTGCATGAAGCGGGCAGTGAAGGCATACGGTCGCACACTTGGGCTGAGCGACGCAGCATCTTGAAAATGACATAGATCTTTAATTTCGCGCTCTGCAGCAGCACCAGCTCTAGTGGCTGTAGCAACAGACGCGGGTTCAAGCCTGTCCTGAGATTCGCACCGTAGCGAAAACTGACTAAAAAAGAATGCTGAAGTGTGGATGACACCATAACGTGGCAGCAGAAAGGAGCCACATGCCTCGGCCAACGTCCAGAATGCAACAAAGAACTACCCTCCGCTGTTTCAAGAACCGTTTTCGTGAAACGTACATTAATTGGAATTCCATCTTTCTTGAATATATCCAGCGTATCTCCGCACCAAAATTTATGATGGTAGTCTCTCTTCCGACCTCTGGAATGCCGCAGTAAAGGGAGCAACTGCAGCAACACCGGGCCAACTAGAAGGTAGTCGCCAACGTTAGCTCCCACGTCAGTGTACGCTCGCTGCATACACAAGAGCAGATTATTATAGGGAGACATGGCACGGCTCTACGACTGCTGCTGCGCAGTACCTCATCCAAACGCCCTGAGCTAGGATAACCGTACTTCTATGATGCCAAGGGCGTTGAGTTGTCTGTACAGCCGCAGCTTCGCTGCTTCGCTGCTGAACTTCACAGGTTCAGTTAACAGTGACACAAGGGGTCCCCTTAGTTCGAAACATCGCCGATTGCCTGCGCAACACAGAATTCGGGGCGACACTGTACATGCGAGCGGGGACAGGTCTTTTGGAGCTGTTGCAGTGCCTTTCGTAATATGAAATGTTGTTGCCTTGCAAACAGGCAGTCTAGATTATTCAGGAAGCACAGGTAACTGCTGATGCGAAGCAACTTGCTACCGATTGTGGAGCTGATGCCTATTCAGCCAGTGATGACCGCGCACTGATGCTGTCTTCACCCGCAAAGTCTGGGGAAGCATGCAGCACCTCTCGGCTCTGCAACAGTCGTTGCAGAGTTCCGTGTCCCTCAAGCTCCACGAGGGCCCACTTGTAAGGATCATCTAGGACAGGAAAGCAGGGGTACACGTGCTTCTTGCTGCTGATGCTGGATACGCGTTGGGGTGGGGCTGGCGCCGGACGCTGCGCCAAATCTGCTCCTGGGTTCTGCTGTTGCTGCTGCAGCTCGCGGACAGAAAACAGCAACATATTTCGACGCGCCGCTGCAGCAGCTGCAGAGTAGACGGCGAAAAACGCCAGGTGATAAGCAGCTGGGTCGATCTGCTTGTGTTGCTGCTGTTGTTGCTCTTGCTGCGGCTGTTCCTGCTGCTGCTGTAAGTGCAACAGCAGCTGCTGCTGCTGCTTTGGACTGATAGTTGCTAAGCCTGCAATCCTTCGAAGCACTTCCAGAAGATCACGACAACCGTCGCCTCGTAGTGCTGCAACCAGCAGCACAGAGAGTAGGTCTTCAGGGTAACAAGGCGCTCATGTTGCATGTTGCATGCCAGAGGCGATCAAGTGCTGCAAGCGAGCTGCTTGTCGCCTTACGCCAGTAGCAATGCATTTCAGCGGAACGAATGATACGCCACTACAGCAAATAAAAGCAGAAGCAATGAAAAAGCAATGACTCACCCGACACAGCGTACACCTCTTTAATTCCTGTCTGCTTTCTCACGCTCTCTACCAGCTCTGCAGCATGCGATGGGCCTTGCTCTTGCTGTTCTTGCCGTCGCAGGTCTATCTTGTTAAGAACAAGGATTACTGGTAGCTCTGATAGCTGGGGGTTAGCCTGAAGCATCTCCTGGTGGAGCGTCATAAACTCCCCTGCAGGATTCTAAAGCAACAGCCCTCACAGCATCTGTTTGGATGTTAAGCATTTGCTGCCTCCGCGAACTCAGCTCTACTGGCTGCGCTGCCTCAGCTGAGAAGGCAATGGTCTTGCCACTGCTGCTTAACAGAGATACGAGTGGCAGCTCTCACGGGAACGGATCCATCGATAACAAGTAAGACGGCGGTGGCGGCACTCAAACCCTTGAGGGGATCGTCCTGTTGCCCTGCTGCAGGAAGCCATCTGCTCTGTGAGTATGTCGCTGCTTGTTCTGAGTCTGAGGAAACTGCCGGTGTTAGTAGCCCTGGTGTGTCGAGGGCCACAACTGGTGCCGCTGAGGCGAGCGCTATAGCCTGCTGTAAGGCATCACCCAGGCCTCGTTTGCCTTGCTGCTGCTGCTGCTGGATATGTGTGCCGCATTTTACCCCTACCATTTGTTCTGAAGGTGCAGGAACTACGCAGATAGCTGGTTCGGTAGTTGGTAGCCACACATCATCTGGGATCCCAGCTGATAGCCACTGTAACTGCCGTTGTTGCTGCTGCTGCATTGTTACTTCATCTAGCAAGACTTGTTCACCTTGCTCAGCAGTGACAGCGATGGAGTTACTGCCAACTGTCTCACCAACGGCAACGGGTGCATCAGTAGCCGCACCCACAGAATCTATCGCTTCTGCTGGAGCAGTGTCAGTTGCTGCTGAAGTGAGGGCTCTCAGCAGCGTGGATTTGCCACTTTGCATGCGACCTACGACAATGAAGTCTGCAAAGTCGTGCATCACCAGTAGTTTTCGTTTTTCTCCAGGAGACCCTGTTTCGCCTAGTAAGGGATGCCTATTGCTACAACGCCCGCAAAAAATAGCAGGACCATGCTATATATAGCAACTGCACTGGCAGCAACCGTGTGAGTGAGCAGCCAAGTTTGCACCACCTACACTGCTCTCAGTGATGCCATTTACGTCATCAAAAAAGGCTACGTGGAGCTCACTTGTTAGAAACAAAGGCGGAGTTGCCACGCCCCCCGGACCCGCCGCGGGCGGCTACGAGGGTTTCCCCTGGAGCTGCAAAGTAGGTGCAGCAAAGAGGGCGCGATTGTTGTTCCTCTTGCAGCTGTCGATGCTCCTGCTTTAACTGTTCTGCTTCAATGATCTCGTGGTCGCTCTGCTGCTGATGCAGCAAACGCCGCATCGCAACAGCAGCAAGCGTCTGCAGAGGGGAGACGTCTACGACCAAAGCATTTGGAGGGAGTCCCAGCAGCAGATCAGAGCCACTCGCCTGAGACGGAAATACCACAAACACCAACTGTTGAGCTCCGTCTTCGTTTTCGCTCCTCCTATGCCTGCGGCAGCAACAGTTCCGTGTAGGCAGCAAAGCTGGAAGGCATCAGGCCCATGCACCAAGCATTATCAGTAGCAGCAGAACCATAAGTACGATCTGTGGCAGCAGGTGCAGAGATATGCATATTGCAGCAAGTCCTACACACCCCCGTCTTCCCTTGCCCTGCTCCTGTCGCCCCTGAAGCCGCACGCCAGCATCCGCTCTCCAGCAGTGATGCGAAACGCCGCAGGCCCCCTGAGGATTCATCAAGGGGCCCCACAGCCCGCAGCAGCACACATCCGCCTCGCCCACCGCAACCCCCTGCAGCGCCGCTGCGTGGCGCTGCCTTGAGGCGAAGGAAGGCAATGGAACCGTCGCCGCCACTGCCACCCTCTACAGTTACAGGTGTACATACAATAGCAGCTGCAGCGGCTGCTTCTCTTGCTTCAGCTCTTGGACCCGAATCACCCTGAGTCAGTTTTTCCAATGGCTGCTTCAGAAGGCGACGAGCTGCAAGAGCGAAGACGAGCGCCGGGTTAAGGGAGAGGCCACCACCCAGCAGAAGGCAGGGGGCTTCCTGACGAGTATTTGGCAACAGTGTTTTCGATGGTGAGGAATCTGAATTAGCTATCCGACTGTTGCAGTGACCCCTATCTATGCTATTACAATTGGTAGCGTTGCGTGAGCCGTCAGAGCCCAAAGACACGCTCCACGGACGTGCATGCGACACGGGAAACGGATGCAGCATCCAACAATCCGCTCCTGCTGGCCTCTTTGGCACGCTTCCAGCCATTAAACCATTGAGAAATAAAAGGCTTTCCTGGGGTGTCGAACCTCTGCCTCCTCTGGTGTCCCTAAGAATGATGCTTAGAGCCGGGAACAACAGCAGTAGTAGCAGAAAAGGAAACCACACCACGAGAAGGACCCCGCGCGAATAACAAAGAACCATTTCGCATCATTTAACTCAAGTCCGATACCTTCTTCGTCTGGTGCCAAACTTCACACATCCCGTAAAGGTTGCCACACTTCCACGTGTGCAGTGGTTCGTGGCCCTCAAATCTGAAACCTACGCCCTAAACAAGGGGCCTGCACCATACACCTTAGAACTTATGTAGCAACTCTTCTATATAGATTGTATGCCAAGCGTAACTGAAGGTCGTAGGCATCTCCAACTGCTTGAGCGGTCTCGTACATTGCTGGCTGTCTCCATGAGGCGTGTAACTTTTCACCACAGTCACTGCAATGGCGGCACTTAAAGATGCCGCCATTGCAGTGACTGTGGTGAAAAGTGACAAAGAAATGACGCTGAAATACACCATGTTACTCTCCGTAGGCCTTGCACCTTACTTGTCTTGTGTTGGGGCCCCCATTTCTAGTTCCTTCAGAGTACTTTACGCAAGCCTCAGTGGCCCCCCTTGATCGAGTGTTCGAACGACTTGTTCGTTTACTTCTCATGATTGTTGAAGCTTTGTTGAAATTTTGCCTTAAGTGTAGTTTCGAGGGTCTTTTGTGGGGAAGAGAGGCTGTGGTTGCCGTCGTCGCTAGTAGTGTGCGTATGCTGTCCCAGGAACTCCCAATGCATGCAGGTGAGTGCAATTATCGGCGCCCATTAAGAGTAGGTACTGTTTAATTATTTTAATTGAACTTGCGAGCGCAACTTTGCCTACGTTCATACTTCACGATGCATCTGTTCCACCGCAAGGATCCATCGGGAACCAAATGCCCAGCTGCTGTACGACCCCAGAAGGCCAGCGAAGTGTCGGAAAGCGGTGTTCTAGGGTCTTCTAACCAACCCACTGAGGGCACAGCAACAGGGAAAATTACGTCGATAGCCCAAGGGAACCCTCACTATGGAGAAGACGTGGACGAAAAGATTGACAACACAGGTTGTTCAAAGGAGTACGGTATTTTGCAGGATTGTCTGGATGAAACAGACAAGTAGGCATTGCTCACACGCCCTAGATCACAAATCGTCTATTCACCCACATGCTTTGGCTTTCCACTACCTGCCTCTCCGTACGACTGCTTAGCATCGTGTGCTGCGAAAGTGGGCTGCACGGCGTACGTGTGACCCACTAGAGATGAACGCGTACGAAATCGTCTCAAACCTTACACTTTATGTTTTCATTCTAATCCCGTATGTGCATGAGTTGCCAGCGGCACTCCAGCCTTTCACAACACTCGAAAGGGGAACGTTTGTGGAGGGGGAGCAAAAGCGAGATGCACAAAGACCGTGAGATACGAACGAAGAGACACTGCCCGACTGGTGCGATTCTTATTGATCAGGGACTGGCGAAAATGCCAAAAACAACTCCGTGTGTTCCAGCAGTGCTGCCAGCGGAACTCGGTCGCCGGAGCGTAATGAGTAGCATCTAAGCCTTAAGCTGTAAATCGGTTGACAGTCAGCGTAACTTGGGGCCAATGACTGCACTCGTTGGCGAATCCAACTGATAACCAAACAAAAAACTGCTTCCTATTGTTTCCTCCTCAAGGCCCCTGGGCGGCATTGCCCTTCTGCCATTCGGCCGGCTGGTATTGCCGCCGTTGCTGGTGTTGCTGTTGTCACTTGAGCCTAATCGCTGACTACTTCGACCACCACGTATTCCTTTGGGTTCTCCTTTTCCTCGTGATACTGGAGCTGAGCCTGTCTTTGTCGGTCTGGAAGCTGCTGCCTTTGCTTCCTGGATAACTTAAGAAGTTCAAGCACTTGCGGCTGCTGCCGCTGTTGGTCAACTTTCGGACGCTTCTTCTGCCTCAGTCGCTGATGAATTGGAGGGGAAGGGAGACGACGGCGTTCGTGCTGCAGCTGCCGCTGCCGCGGAATCACGTTTAGGAGCAACTGCTTCTCGCCTTGTCGCTGGCTGCTGCTTCTGCTCCCGCCGCCGGTCTTGCAGCTCTGCTGCGGTCTCGCGGACCTACAGACGGATTCGCTTTGTGATTTTGGGGTCCTCTCAACAGCACCAACGTCGACCTCGGCTTCTGCCTCCGTAACAGCCTTTTTGACTGCGGCATCTTCCAGTTGGACCGCTACTGCGCCTCCCGATACTGCTGCTGGTGGCCAATCTGCTCCCACTGGTGATTTTGCAGCTGGTTGGGATTCTTGTGCATGCGGCACTGTCTCTGTTGGTGGAAGCCCTGCCTCCTCCGGCGGCAATGCTGCTCCTGCAGCCGCCTTCTCATTTTTGTGTTGAGAGAGAACTGCAAGCAAGTCGTCGAGTTCCTCAGCCTCGATGCACCACTCTTCTTTAGGGTGTGCTACAGCATCGCGTGCCTCTGCTGCGAGTTCTTGATGCTGCTGCTGCTGCTGCTGTGAGAAGAACTCATCTAGTTTACGCAGCCCCCTGTTCCGTGTCTTTGCCTGTCTGAGGCCGGAGCAGCGCACGCCTAGCAGCCTCACCCATGCTGCCGTGCCTTTGACGCTACCTCTTCCGCTGCTGCCGGCGCTTGTCGGCTTCTTGAGTTGCTGCTCCCGGATGACGGATTGCAGCAAGCCTTGGGCTGCTGTTGCGATTGTTACAGCATCACCGGTGTGCTGCAGCAATCTGTGTGAGATAGTTCTCACCGAGAAGTCCGCAAACTTGACCTTGAGGGTCACATGGTCGCTCTCCTGTCCCATCTCCTTCAGCTCCTCTGCCACTGCTGATGCCAGCTGCTCGACGACCCGGCGCAGCACAGGCAGCTCATTCGTTGCAGCAAACGTTTCTTCCGAGCTGACGCTCTGCTGCTGCTGCTGCTGTTGTTGTTGCTGAAGTTCCGGAGGCATCCCGTCGATCCCGAGAGCCATGCGTATCAGATGCACTGCTGTTATTTTGGGCAGCAAGTGCAACAGTAGCGGTGCGTGCTGCAGGAGTTCCCCACAGGTGTGTATGCCCAGGGCGTTAAGCATTTTCTCTCTGTATTTTCCAACGCCTGGTATTTTGCGTACATTGAGCGAATCCAAGAACGCTGCCGTCGCTGCCGTTGCTGCTGCTGTTGTTGCTCCCGTTGCCTCTACTATCTTCTGGCCGTTTGGCTTGTTCATGTCCGATGCAATCTTTGCTACGATGCGACTCGCTCCAGCACCCGCGCTACAGCTAAGCCCTGTAGCAGAAGAAACAGCGGCGCGAATCTCCGATACCAGCGCCGTCACCCGGTCGGTTGCTGCTTTGGCTGCTGCTGCTGCTGCTGCAACATATGGTTTGGTAGCTTCTCTGGTTATCGGAGTGGTTGCTGTGGGGGAATGTGATGTTGATGGTGTAGTTGCTGCTGTTGCTTTTCTTCCTGAAGACGTATTGTCTGTGTTTTCTGGAGACGCGGTGATGTCCACTGGGCTGCAGGCGTCTGCGCTCTCGGCGAACCGAAACCTTTTGCTGCAACAGTAACAACACTAACAATACCAGCATGGGAGCAAAAAGCAGTGACCATGTGACTGTGAAGCAGTGACAGGAAACGAAGAGACTGCGCAGGTGTAAGACGAAGGGAGGCAAGGAGTGTGGAGAGGAACAGAAGAGACGGCAAAGCTCCAAACAGCTCCGCGAGCGCCCTAAGGGCAAGGCTTGAGAGATATAGTTATAATTAATACAGAGACGAGAAACAGCTACGGAACGTCATAAGGCAAACACAAGCTCCAGAGGAAGGCCAACTGAAGCCAGAGCAAAAATGCACTAAACACAGGCACCAAGGTTTAGAAAATGGACGACAGACACGAATTTTGTTATCTCAGGGTCTCCCAGGCTCCCGTCCTGTCCCTCATGCACGCAGTTGCCACCTCAGCTGCAGCAGTGGCTCATGAGCTTTACTTGAGGTAGTCTGTGACATCCAAAGATGCCTCATCAAGTGAGTGTGAGGAAAGATCGGGGTCGTAGGCCTCGAGCACGCGCCTGATAGCGTCCCCTGCTGCTCTGTATTTGCTGAAATTGGGACGCACAATCACCAGAGACGGGCACAGCTGTTTAGCAATAAAGCCAGGCATTGCCGACCGCACCCCGTACCGCCGCGCGGCATAGTTGGCTGTGGCCAGCATAGACAGGGAGCCCACTGCCATGGGCACAGACAGCAGCGAGGGGTCGTCGCGCATCTCGACGGCGCAGAAGAACATATCCATGTCCAGGTGGACATACACCCGACCTGACTCGCGCTGCTGCTGCTGCTGCAGCTGTTGGAGTACTCGACGAGCAGTGGCAGAAGCAGCGGCGCTGCCACCAGATGACGCAAAGAGCTGTACGCGGCGACGTAGGACCGACAACTGCTGTTCCATCTGCTTGTTCTTCCTGTAACAAGCAGGCACGATGAAGTGACAGCCAAGGATTGAAGAAAGAGAAGTAAAAATAAGCATAAAGGAAGAGTTCAGGCAACTCAAAATAGCAAATAATGCATCTCCACAACAGCCCCGTCTCAACCGCGACGTGCACAAGGACTTCCTGCTACAGTACTTTCAGCAAAGCAATGCGCGTAAGTCGCTGCTGCGCAAGTGCTGCGTCAGCCACAATGTAAGTGCAACTAACTATACTGCAGTACTGCTGTCTCTACTGTCGCGGAACTGCAGTTGCAGGTACGGCCTTCGAAGCACCTCATTTCGTTTGCGTAGAAAGGCGAGTTCCTGGAGAGCTCAAAAATTTTTGCTGCTATTTTCGCCTTCTCCTCTTCCGTCATATCCATTCCCGCTTTCGAATTTGCAAAAATAAATGTCTGGCGACATACTGTTTCGAGGTCCGGTTCGGCAGCTGCTGATGTAGAACCTGGCACCGCAGTTGCTGATGCAGCTTCACACGCATTTCCTGAAGTAGCACCTCCTGCAGCTGCAGCGCGGTTTTTTCCCTGAAATGCATAATTGCCACTATCTGCATTGGGCCTCTCCAGAGCATAGTCCTCATCGCTGCCTTTCCCGTCAGGGCTTGCATGGAGGGCTATCTGCTGCAGCTGGCCACGCCGGTGCAGGTGCTCCTGGGGCTTCTGTCCTTGAAGTTCGTCAGGATCATCATGAGCTTTTTCAAGGGTCCCTTCGGGTCCATGCATTCCTCCTGGCTCTTCAAGAGAAAGGGAGCGATGTACAGAGGAAGCCTTGGGAAACTTCCGTGGAGGCGCTGATAGAGGGTGGTCAACAACATAATGAGAATCGCTACTGGCTGAGCCCACAAGAGGGACGGCGGCTAGGCCAACAAAGTTAGGTGGTGTTCCAACAGCTCCTCCCCCATCATCTGCAACATAAGATGCTTTTGTGCTCTCTTTTGCGGCAGTTGGGCTCTGCATTGCGTCTGCAGAGGCCTTTTGTGCCGCTGCTTCCGAATAGGACTAACGTACGCTGCGTCATGCTGCTGTTGCTGCCCCCGCTACTCCGCTTCAAGGGCAGTGGCCACCACCACTGAAGCCCCCGTGCGTTCCATGGTTTCTGTGCATGTTCAATAAAAGCGTGCAAATAATAACATGTACCAAAAGGCAGGCAAACTATTGGGCTAACTACAGGGAACTCCAAAAACCAGGCGGATAAGCACGGATGCTACGAATCGTTGGCAGCAAGAAGCGAATAGAAGAAATGCCGGGACACGGTAAAGGCGAATCCCAAAATTTCTGCCTCAGTGGCTCAAAAAAATTGAGATAAGTAGAAAAAAGCAAATGCTGAAGTACTCCAAGGGTACAAGCAGCTATCTACACAGCCAAGGCGACGTGTCGGTGCAAGGACAGTGGCCCTGCTTGGCAGGCACAACTAAAATAGTCCCTTGAAATACCCTCATTGCCAGCTGCACAGCAATACGAATGTCAAAATTAATTTTAAAGGAACCTCGTACGACAGGCACCTCTGTAGCGCTGCATGCGGGGCCCTCGTACAAGAAGCCCCAAACGTGATCTTTAAATTGTTTTTTGATCTCCCACGTACGCCATTGCTAATCCTAGTTGAGGACTTTTGCTGCGTATGCCATGATTTTTGGCTGTTGTCATTATGCTCCTCTCGGGAGATTCGTAAGAGCTTCAACTTTTAATAGACTTACGTGTTGAATTCCCAATACGACTCCCCGTCGATTCATCTGCATGTCCTCGAATCGGGTTTCATTGGTACACTGAACGGTATGTATATTACAGCTATATATATACATTTATGGCGTATGCCACTCCCCCACTATTGATAGTGATAAGCACTGCTAAATGCTTCCCGCCGCCACTGTACCAATGCTTCTGCATCACGATTGCAATGCTGTTCTACTCATGAGCATTATCTCCTAATGGGGATCGGTAACCATCTTACCCCAATCCCTGCGGCTGCCGTTCTATAGATTTTAAAAGCAAGGGTTCATGAGCACGGACTAATTCAAGCCCTGGGAATACATGCACGTTAACTACAATGAAGGGAAGTGCAGCTGTTGCCATATTCATCTTTTTCAATGGTTGGTGCTTACAAGAGTAATTACAACAAAATTAACGGCAAAAGAGTGCTAATGGAAACGAGAAGAATGCTGAGGCAACTCAGTGAGCTCTCCGCTGGGCAAGCTCCCAAACAACCAACTATTCCTATCCACTCTGGGCAGGAAGTTTGGCAGCGCTGCATGGAAATCTGTATATGTGCAGATACGCGTTTGCACGTGTAAGCATTTATTTATACGTTGATCAGAAAAAACACATACGCAGATGCATGCAAACCTGTAACACGCAGAGTAAATGGTACACATCGCGTACTCCAGGGCCTTTCCAACGCTGCTCCAATGCTGCTGCTGCTGTCGCGTTTGTCAGCTGCATTCCTGTGTTGTAACTGGGAGCTGCAGAGATTGAGTTTTGTCGTGCATGCGTCATATGCACCTTACATGCCTTGTGAGTCTGTTGTGTCTCGGGATTCTTCGGGTCCCTGGGGCGCCGGCTCTGTGTCATTATCTGCTTCTTCTGCAGACGAGACCGACTCTTCCTCCTCCTCGTCCTCTCGAGCATTATAGCGCTCTAAGATCTGCTGCCGACGCTCGAGCTTCTCCTCCTGTTCGTGAACAGCGACTATCTCCCGGGCCTGTTGCAGCAGCTGGTTCAACAAAAAGCCAAACACCAGCAGCAGCAGCCACACCTCAGGTCGACTGAACAACTCATACACTGTATACCAGCTCCCCCAAAGCCAGTTTTCAAAGGCCTCGCGCTCGCTTCGATGGCTCCCGTAGCCACCCTGTCTCTCCGACCGCTTCGGGGCGGCGCTAACTGAAGCTGTTGGCACACCTGCGACAAGCAGAAGCCCCAAGGCAAGTGCAAAAATTAGCCTGAACCATCAACGTCCTTCAAACGGAGAAGCTCAGCCCCAAGACAGCTCTCAAGACTTCCGTTTCGTAATACAAAATGTCACAGGCAGCATTCCTCTGCGATTGCATCTGTCAATTCTCAAGCGACAGCCCTGAACCCTAATCCAGGAAAATTACCACCGTAACAGGCACGCCTTCTCTGCTTCACGCCTTCAGACGAGTCAGATGCATCCTCCACAAGAACTTCGTAGCCCATCCCACGGCAAAAGGAGAGGCTATTGTCCAGCGCTGCATGCAAGCGGTAGAGCAGAGCAACAACAACATTCCCACTGTGGTATGTGCGTGAATGGCAAATCACACATGTACATGCAAACATGCCGTTGATATGTGCGCAGTCCTATGGTACACCTACGCATGCGTCCGTAGACCTGCATAAGTGTACGGTGAAACACATCTTGCAGCTTGCAGTTGCTGCTCGTACATGTATACACAATCGGCGTTTGTACATGCATGAAGTCCAAAGTGAGCTTCACTGAGACGTCTGCACGAGTCTTCTGTCATTCTAAGCACCAGCTTGGGAAGCAGCTGCCGCACCAACACCAGCAACCAGTAAATGTACCAGGAGCAAGACCCACTTGCAGAGAGCCGCGAGCAGATGAGGCAATTGTCGTCGCAGAAGGTCAAAGCACTGGAGCTGCCAGATGGGGAGGCGGAAACAAACGCTTCTTTACATGCAGCAAACCTGAACAAAGTCTCCAGTAAGTCAAACCTAGGCCCTCTAACCTGAACCCTGAGCCACAAGCCTTCTCAACTGCAGACCTGTACAGTTCACAACTAAAGCGCGTGAGACAGCCAATAGCCTATGCCCACTCTAAGAGCTGACCTAACAACGTTAAATCCCAGCTAGTGGCCCTACATCCTCACCACTTTTCACAGAGCTGCGGGCACAGGACAGGGTTGCCTTTGCTCTCGAATTCTCCCGTGCCAAACCGTGGCTCGCATAGCACGCACATTACTTCCTCTGACACCTTCTGCGCCAGCAGTAGCAACAGGACGCACCAGCAAGGTGGAATGCCAGCCCGCAACACGTAGACTCAGCACGCATTGATGCGCGCCACGTTCGCGGCAGTTCAAGAATCATGCTCAGCAACGGTTCCGCTGGGTCTTGCTGCAGCAGCAGGTGGCATTTGTAGCTACCAGCGAAGGCCAATGCAAACTGGCATCAAGAAAGACAGAACTCTTAATCGGCGACTAGACTGGGCTAGCACCTACAGCGGGTCCTGCAGCAGCATTTCCAGTCTGTACTGGCGCTGCTTCATCTGCTAGCGTCGGAGCAGCAGCTGCAGCAACCGCATCCCCTCACTTTGCATTCTTTGTTGTCCTCCAAGGCCCCTAAACGCCTTTTAATTAGCTCAGTGTGCTGCGGATAGCAGCAAGCTGCAGAGGCAGCAGTAGTGCAGGCAGCGGAAAAGCACCAACCAAGGCCTATTACCTGACAATTCTAGGTCCACCTAAATTGTTAAGACAGCAACTGCAGTTTTACGCACCCACCAAACATCCCAACTAAACAGCAACAACAACAGCAGCTGCAGTTTTAGCATTAACGTCAACAGGTAACAGGGTCGTACTGTTGGCCGCATGATTTGTGCAGCTTTGGAATGAGTACTCGCGCTGGTCCTGTGGGGGCTGCCCATCAAAGCTCAGTCGACGAAGACACACAGCTCGGTCTGCTCGCACGACACCCGTTTCGAGCCCTTCACAATGAGCTCTACCGTAATTTCTGGAAAATGCCGTGGTAGCCAATGAAGTGGACATGTTCATGCCACTGCGGCGGAGTGTTGAATTCAACCCTAACGCCCCCACAGTGAGGATTCTGGGTCCAAGGACAGCGCCTGCGGGAAAAACTCACCAGAGAATGCGGCTCCTATGGAAACAACCAGCGCAAGCGGAAGGAGGACCACCAACAGCATCGTCTGCTCGTTTGTGCTGCCCGTGTTTCGCCCGTTGCTGCCGCCGCTGCAAAGCGCTCGTGTCACTGCCGCTCTGGCCGTAACGGGATCCAATCGCTGCCAATGGCTTTCTGATGCACTCCAGAGATTCCTATTCGGGTTTCGGCTATTAAGTCAGCACGGGAGAATCGTTGTATCCCTTGTTCTTCTGGTGCTGTTGCAGCCAAGCGTCCTGGTCGTGTTCCTCCTGTTTGCCTATCCCGATGTGGCAACAGTTGGGACAGCAAGAGATGCAGCAGCTCCCGCTCTTGTGCAACAGGCCTGATACTTTTGCAGGAACCTGTAGTGCTGCTGCTGCTGCTATACCAAAAACAATGCAGCTTAGGAAAAAGCAGCCGCACCGGCGACGCCTCCTGTCCTGTCAACTCTATGAGAGCTAAGAAATCAGGTTTTCAAAGCTCTCGTGGAAGCATGGACTATCTGCATTCTAAATAGTTCGTCATGGTGAGGCGTAAACTGCAGCAGCCGCAGAAACAGCAGCACATAGCCGCGGTTGCTACGGCGAATCTAACGGGAGTTAAAGCCCCCTCTGAAAGCCGGTGTAAATATCTCTAAGAGCTACTTTGAAACTTGTAGAAGGCAGCAATTAGATTTTATATTGCCAACACCTGGTTTGGATACATGTTTGCGGGGCCCCGAGATCTGGGATCCCTCACGTCGGGGCCCCTTGATCTGACAGCCCTACCAAAGCGTACGCATGCTCATCCGTGCGTTTTGAAGATAAAGTAAGTCAGGTTTTGATTGCTGAATATAGTTTTTTTAGGGTAGAACAAACTAATGAGGAAAATCATCCTGGCACTCGAACGCTATAGCCAAACTCGGCCAAAATTCATCGTAAGAGATGATACGGCCCAAGCGATTTCATCTACAGCGTAGCCATTCTGGGCTACATTGAAGCATCACGGGGACTCGAGAAGATAAATATCACGCAGCAGCGGCAAATCAGCCAACACGGATGGTGACGTGGTCAACTGCATTCCATGGCAATTCCTGTGAATTCTTCTTTCTCGCTGTTTAGCACTTCTCCTGGTATGGCCGGTGCTTTTCATGGAAGTCAGGCAAATAGGCAATGCGCAAAAAAAAGTAGGATTGTCTTGAGTTAAACATGGGCCAAGAGCCCCACATGGTCAACGGCCACTTATGCCACCTATGCGTCTGTGTGAACTCCCCTAATATATTCACTCACGCCTTACGTTGTCAGCATTACAAAGCACGACCCCACAATAATTGTCCCACTGGACCTGCTATAAAAGTCAAACCTAGGCCTGTTGCACTACAGGACTGTTGAGGAAGTCCTGCAATCCTGCTTGGGCATCGAGACGCATGTTAAGAAGCAGTGGAGGTGTTGATCGTCAGTAATGACCCATGTCGAGCCATCCTAAAACACCGTAAAATTTGGTGACAAGCCTGGCTGCAGGCCAGAGCGAATAGCCAGCTCCACGGGAATTTTCAAGCAGTCCAGTGTGCCGCGCATCTTTGTTCCTTGCCGTCCTGGCGGCAGAACAGTGCGCATTCTCATTAGGAAGAATTACCACGATCCTTCTGGCATCGAGAAACACCTAAGTCTTCCGTTATTCTCCTCGTCTCCGCAGAGGCAACCTTATGTCGCAGAGCGCTCCCGGCAATTGGGAAGCAGCGACGCGGCGTGGTGCGTCTATTAGTGTTCTACGGTGGTCAAACTTGCAGTAAGACACTAACTGTCAGAGACTAACTGGGTGTATTCGTCTTCCTCTTAATACCGCCAGCTTCCGTGCGCTTAGCTTCCTCAGGACCATCTTCACTAGCTCCTGATGCACTCGCTCACATGGGGCTCATGCTACAGCTCATTCCAGTCTGCGGACACTGTGCCTAGTGTTAAGAATCTGTGCTTCCTGCAGATCACTTCAAGCCGTGTTGCAGCCTGCAAATTCACTTGAAGCCAACAAGCTGGGGGTCAGCTGTATTCGTTCGTCGTCTCGCTCTTACTTGTCTTTATTTTTCCGTTACACTCGTCTACTTCCTGGCACACCTAGGAACCTCTTGATAAGCTGAAGGCTAAGGGGAGGTAACTGTAATTGTTTAAATTAAGAAGGTCTCACGAAAAAGCGAGACGCCACCTATGCCCAGAGCAGTTTAAAATGAAGAGGATGATTGTGGTGCTTTTTATCTCCCTACACAGCAACAAACCATCCTAAAAATTGGTCTCATGAGCTGTTGTTCAAGATATGCGACGACTGGTGGTGCGCTGTTCAGGAGCTGTTTCTTATTCATACTGGCTTGGGCCGCGTAGCAAGCTTTGCCCTCTCATGAAATCAGTTCGTAACGGTGTCAATCGAAATAACAGAGGCAGTCCGATGAAACGAGCCCAGATCAAATTATCAGTTTAAGCCACCGTCGGTTATGACGTAAACAGCCATGATGGTAGTGCTGACAACGAACTGCCAATCGATTGAGAAAAATCACTCCAACATCCGTAATGTTCAGACATAAGTAAGCAGCAAGATTAATGAGAGATGTCATGAAAGTAAACCCTAAAGATGTGGCAGAAGAATGATTCTTGATTTGCCGAACAAATAGCAATTGCAGAAAACCCATGGGCCCCACGGTGTTGTAGAGCACAATGCATATAGAAGCGTACACGTCTGAAAGGCCACTTTTGATTAAATTACATCCCATCGGCCGCTATTGACATAAAATCCATGAAATTCCTCACTATCAATGCATCTCGAGGGGGGAAAAATTGACAACGACTCTTACGGACCACAACGTAACAAAATGATGCTCCCTATTAATGATCAGCAGTAGACCTGCCCGCACCAGCCCCCTTATAGCTGTATTCATAAGGGGTCAAAACTTTGCTTGCGAAATCAATAAAGGAACACCACGCCCACCGACACTGACGAAATCCAGAGAAGCTGGGTTCTGAAACACGTTGGAACCCGTTGGTTCACGAAGCAGCGGCTCACGGGCATGCCTACAATGGCAAATTCGAAGTAAAAGTCTCTAACAAAGTCTTGAATCACACTTTGATAGAGGTTAATACACAGAAAGTGATCGAGTCCGCACTCTAGGAGCCTCAGGTGCTGACACTGCTTTGGCAGGAGTGACACAGGGGAGGCCACAGTCAGATGCACGCAACTCAGCTGTCTGCCAACTCACAACAGGCCCTCTCCAAGCTCAAGTCAGCTAGTTTTATATACTATACTGAATAGTTGCAACTATTGAGCTTCGAATTTGATTACGCAATTTCAAGCAAATGGCCTGGAGCCGCGGAGGGCTCAGCCGAGACAAGCGATCGGAAGCGCCGAGTTGCTGTCTGCCGAAATGACCCGTGGGGCTGCCGGCGGGCGAAGGCGCCTCTTCTCAGTGCATCACTCTCTGTTTCAAACTATCAAGTAAAATTAAAAATCATTTTTAATACATTTAAAGGTGAGAGGTCTCTATGCGGCTCTTGCCTCGCTCCTAGTTCATCTGCCACTGCCGACAGGCCGCCGCCTCCAGGCCAGCAGGCAGTGTCAATGGCGCGGAAACGGTCGTCTTTGCCCGCCATTTAGCCCCTTTCGTTTATAAGTATCTATTTAAATTCACTTACAGTAGCTGAGCTTAAACCTCTGCTGGCAGCACCCGCTTGGCCGCCGCCAGACATTGAAAGTCTTGCCGCCGCCGCCGGTGAAGCCCCGTGCATTCCACCGTACAGTACAGCGATTGCAATAAGTTTTTAAGGCCCTATAAATCAAGCTGGTGTCTGAGAGGAGGGGAATTTTCGCCTCTTTAGTTGCCTTGGGAGCTGGTAGCGCACTACTCGCCACTGCTGGCGGTTGCTACAGCGGTCACCTCCAGTGGAGCGCTCTGCAGGCATCTCTACGTCGCTAAAAGGGGCACAGGTACCGCTTCTTGGCTCTTTTGCCACTATTTCTACTTCAGGTAGGCACTGAGAGTCGCGGAATGTCGCAGGTGCCGGCCACCCTCTCCAACCCGCCCCCGTTTAAATGCAGCAAGGCTTAAGTTGCTGCACATTTCCTCTTCCGTAGCCACATGCTCCACAGACAACCAAGGCACGCTGTGAGCGAATCGACTCGTGGAAGCTGCTGAGCGCGACAGTTCCCAAGAGTGCTCACAGCGCTACCACGCGACTCAGCAGCGAGATTAGTTACCTCGGCACCAGCGGACGTCAGAGACGGCACGAAACTTTCTTCGTGCTTGGACACTGAGTAAGCGGCGTCAACCTAAGTGCAGCAACTCGGGCTCGAAAGAGCGCCGCGTTCGCGCTGCAGGAGCTCAACCGTACGATGAACGGATCGGACGGGCTCGCTGCGGCCCCCACTGCAGCAGCAGCTGCAGCAGCAGCAGCAGCTCGTGACAATGCGTCATGGCTTCTTAGAGCCGCGCGTAGGTCTGCGTCTGCTGCTGCCGGGATTCACTCCCCATGTTCGGTGCAGCCGTGCACAGATATCAAGACCAAGGTTGGGGACACGCAGCTAGCTGCTTCTGCAGCAGCAGCTGACGCCAGTAAAATAATTACTACGAGCCGCCCTAGTGCCTCGCTCGAATCCTGTAATGACAAAGGAGGGCTCCTGCAGGAACTGAGCATAGCTCTTTTCTCCAAACTTGCTGAGTCGCTGCCTAAGGATAGGGGTCCCCTCAGTTTCATGAGCTGGGAGGACGGCAGTTGGTACTGTGGCCAGATGGCTGACGGGGCCCTTGATGGTGTCGGAGTGTATAGGTACACGGACAACTCGGTCTATTGCGGTCAATGGTCCCGTGATCGGCTTCACGGCTTTGGCGTCTTCATCACCCCCAGCGGTTTCGTCTACAAGGGAAGCTTCGAGGCAGACAAACAAAACGGGCCAGGTTGGCACCTCTTCGTATCTTTGTTCGCCTTTTGCCTTTGTTTTGAATATGTGCTTCGCTGCCGGCTATTGACGAACATGACTGTACTTCTTAGGGACTTGCGTCTCGTGCTCGACATCAAAAAAAGATGCAGCGGCACTTAGAGCAACATATTGGTAGCTTGCTCGGTTCGCATGCGTTTCTCGTGTATTCAGGCATTTTTTTGGTTCCCCAGGGCCCAACCTTTTTCGGACATTTCCGCGAAGGTCGGCTACACGGTTTTTCTTGCTGTGTCTCCCCGTCGGGGGCCTCGCGACCCCTGTTGGGAGAGTGGCGTGATGGGGAGTTTCTTCGGGCTTTGCCACTACACAGCCGCATTGCAGATTTTTACATTCGAGCAGCAGAGGCGCTCGACCTTTTGGAAGCTCCCTGGGGTCCTCTTCCCGTACCAATGCCCGACGCGACTCTTCTCGGGCTTCCCAAGGAAGAGGTCCCAGGAATCCTAGGATCTACCGGTGCCCCCAGCCATGCCCGGAGGGAGCCCAAGCTTTGCAGTGCCGCAATGCTAGAAGCGCTTCGCATAGAACTTCCTAGGAGTCTTCTGCAGGTGGCAGCAGCAGAGGGCGCGCGCCATGCGGCGCAGCAGCAACAACAACAGAATGGACGACACTCCAGTGGGCGACTCGCGTGCAGTGGAAAGTCTTTAGTAAGAAAACGAAAGGCCAGCAATATGCCAAAGGTACAGAGCAAGGACGGGAACGATGCCGCAGGATCGCGGGTCAAGGGACCCGGCGGCGACGGCTACATGTCTGGAGGTAACACCACTGCACCCCCTCGCGCTACAACTACCAAGGCGCAGCTGTTGAGGTGGGAAAGCGAAGCGAGAAAGCTGCCGCGAATTCCGCACCTAAACTACAATAGAGTTCTCGGGCGCTGGTACGCGAGGGTTCGAGACCCGACAAGTGGCCGCCGCATATGGAAGGGATACACCTGCGCAGTACACGGCTTCTTTCAGGCCAGGGATATGGCCATTGACAGGCTGAGACAGTTCAGCCAGCTCGTGGCTCCATTGCCCACAGCAGCAGCGCCGCATGAAAGCACTAATGAAGCAGGTGGAGGCACAGAAGTACATAGTACAGAGACTTCAGGGGATGGCAAGGAGCAACAGCAACAACAAGAACACGACCACCAATCTGTGCCTTCCCAACAAGCAGAATCGGAAATAGCTGTCGACGGCACAGTTGTCTCAACTGCGCCATCCGCAAAGGGAAACGTGGACGTCAAAGAGGCCCAAAGACAGCTGGGCCTAGTTCCTAATGGTGCAGTTTGCGGTGCCATGGCCACTGCAGAATGCAACTCTTCTGCAAACTCTCCAGCTGTTACCCCCACCACTGCTGACACTGCAAGAAAAGAGAGTCCAAGGTCAGAGGCAAACAACCAAGACGGCCCTGAAGTCGCACTACTTAATGCCAGGCAACGGTCACCAGCCGACCTCAAAACCCACGCCAGCTGCAGCACAGCAGACGAAGCAGCTGCAGCTACTGTTGCTGCAGCGACGACCGCTTCCCCGTTGCCGCCTCAGCAGCAACAGCAGCAGCTACCCGCCATCACGCCTTCAGGCCTATCCTTCGGGACAGAGGCAGAGGCAGCAGAGCACAGCTGCTTACAGCACAAGGATTCAATGCAGGATGAAGAGGGTGTCTCCTGCAGCAGACTGACCACAGCCGATTGCAGCGACACGTTGATCAGCCGCTGCACCCCCACGCACTGCGACTCTGCCTGAGTGCCATTTGTAGAGCTTTCCCTTCTCCCTTCCCTATCCCATCACTGGTGACACTGTTCCTATTAGCTTTCTTAGCTCTAGTTGGGATCGCCAAGGCCTTCAGAAGCCCTTGGCAAACATCCGGAGACGACTAATCGTCTTCGTCTTTGCTGCGTAGCTGCCCTTCGTATGTCATGCGCACTCGCTGCTTTTATAGACTTCACAGCTGCAGCATCAGCAGCTTATATACCAGCAGCTGAGGCAGCTTGTCATCGCAGCTAGGGCTGCAATAGCTCCCGAGTTCACACATAGTTACATATTAAGTGTTAACATACACAAAGCGGGAAACTGAGTCCAACTGAATTCCGCACCGAATTCGCTTGCTGCTGTAAGCTCGCTCCACATTCCAACGCCGTGTAGATTGCGCAGCAGCAGCAGTAGGTACTGCTGCTGCTGCACCAACAGTTGCTCCTGAGGTGGCCGGCCGCGGCCATGTGCTTCTGTTTCGAAGAGTTAAATCCGTTGAGGCGGGTGACGCATTGACTAGCGCACAAGCATGAAATATTACTTTGAGTACTTGCGGCAGACAACTAACAGTAGCGTTCCCCTTGAAACACCGAAAACCCAAAGCTGCGTTAAATTACAAGCACCAATAAAGAGTGAGAGCTCTACACACACAAGGCACTTCCACATTTTAGGGTCAGAAGGCTCCTCCAAGAAGCTGCTGCCACTTCGTTGGGAGCCTCTCCCATGCCAATCAGCCAAACAGATGTGGAGTGGGCGCCGTTGTTCTTGCAGCGTACAGTGGCAGTCATAAATTATACACTTATCGTAGTTGTGTATACATGGTTGAGGAAACAGAATGGCAGCATGGACACCTGGGCAGACGGTTTTGAGCTCAATGCCTAACAAGAGCTATTGAGATATGTCTGTTCAAAAGGATTTGGGAAGACAGAACATTCAAGGCTACATGAGTTTTAACAGGGTGGTAGAGGCGCCTGCATAGCACTTACTCTCCACTGCTGTTCTGGACGAGCAGAATTAGTGACCACTGAGATGAGGTCAGCCACTCTGCTGCAAAGCAACGAACCCCTTGAGCTGTTGAAAGGCAGCCTTAGCAAAGGATGATGCGTTTTAGCTGCGGCTAAGGGAGATACGGCGATGCGCATTATTCTGCCGCCTCTTGGTACTCCTACTTCTGACTTCTCTTTCCTTTGGAAGTGCCAAAAAGTATTTTTTAGTTGAAGGAATTAAGACTAAAACTTGAAAAATGCAGCAAGACATGCAGCCTGCACCTATAGCCGAGAAAACTTATGGCCGATTACCTTTGACGCTTGTACCGCTCTGTGGAAATGTACTAGCAGCAACAGCAGCAGCACAGCAGCTGCACTTGCTGCGCACTAAGCTACGCAGCATGCGAGTGCGCTCGACTTTGGATGAGTCCGCTACTTTTGTTGTGGTGCAGTCCCTGCAGTTTGGAGACGGGAAGCTCAGCTTGCAGAGCAGTTGCAGCATCGAAAACGAGTATGTTCATTTGCAAGCTCGATTTTCTCAGTTACACAGCTAAGCTGCAAATAGCTCAGCCAGCCGAAGTAAGTACATCTGAATACATGTTAAACTCCATATTCAAGTATAAAACAGATAGGCAGCCAGTTGCTGTGCCCAAAACGTTTCGTCGTAAACACTTATCCAAAGCTAAAGCTTAAAACAACACCTGCTTGATTAATTCCAATTCCACGCACACACTGCTGCTGCAATTGCTGTTGCGGCTGCTGTAAGGACTGCAAGGCTACGACGTGCCGGTCTGAAGCGGGGACCTAGCCTGCGGTTGTTGTCCCTCTTCTGATTCCCATTTCTCCTCCCCGTCTTCTTCCTGTGACAAAGGCTGCTGCTGCTGGCCCTGTTGTTGCTTTTGCTGCGGTTGTTTTCCCTCCTCGCCCTGCGCATCAAGGCCAAGGAAACTCTGGTGCCTCATTCTTTCTCGAGCCATGTGCAGCAATGGATCTGAAACGTTCGTGCGATCAGTCTCTGCTTTTGGTGTCGTAGCAGCCACCGCTTCTGCCTGGTGTGGCTGTATAACCAGCGCTGGGGGAGGCAAAATCATCCAGGGGTTTCTCTTGATGAGCACCATGTGTGCAAAGAAGAGATCTACAAAAGACAGGCGGCGCAAGCTCACAAGCATATGAAGCTGTAGTGACAGCAGTGCCTGAAAAAAAAGGATCGCACTACTTCTGCTGCACCTTACCTTCACACCATTCGCCAAGGCTTGTGCCTATGAGAGGCAGCAGTAGCACAAACGCCAGTAGCAAAAAAGCAGCTGCTGTTTTCGAGCTCGGTTGCTCCTCCTTGCTGCTGCTTGAAATCTGGTTAACTCGCAGCTGTAAGAAGGATTCTTCAGCCATTGTGTACAAGTTGGGGTTCCTTAGCTGCAGCTCAGAAGAAGCAAGACTAGCAGCAGGAAGAAGACCAGAGGACGGGTGTGATGGCTGCAGTACTTTGGACTGGAAATGCCCTCGCCGCTGCTTCCGGGGGAGCTGCACCACTGAAAGCGGCAACTTAGTGTTCTCCTGCTTTGGCTGCGGCAGCTGTTGCCGTTGTTGTTTCTGTTGGGGAGAGCGCAACGCTGAATGCACGCTGTCTGACTCTAGTGACTCATGCGCTTCAAGTGCGACAAACGAAACTCTCGTCAGGTGCTCTTCCTGCTGGTGCCTAACAGCCTGCGGCAGCAGCAGCCGTTTGACGTCTTGAAATGCAGCAGGGCCCGCGAGGCCGTGTTGTGCTGCTGCTGAGTCGGCGCCAAGTGCAAATAACAGGAGCGACGTCGCAACACATAAGGCCCCAAAGCTTGCTATGAAAAAGGGGCCTCTGAGCCACAGGGCCACAAGCCATGCGCCCTCCGTAGGCGCCCGTTTCTGTAGTGGGGCTTCTTCTCCTGTGGCATTATCTTGGGCTTCTAAGGCCTTCGGCCTCTCAGCAATAACGGCAGGGGCTCCTACAGTTCTTCGTTGTTGAGCCATAGCAGGGCCGAGGCGGCGGGGAGTAAGTTTCTCCCTTAAGAGTTGGACGAGGGTGTCCGGGGAAGGCGGGCATATGGGCTTGCGGGGTGACAGGGACAGAGGTTTGCCAGATACAGCATCTGCGGCCAAAGTGTCTAAGCTGTGCAGGTGAGGGTTGGGAGGACAGAAGATATAGTAACCGCCACGGGCAGTGGCCAATAACAGCTGGAGGTAGTGGGATAACAGCAACATAGCAGAAAGGAATGCTGCTACAATTAAAGGGGACAGCCAACACAAGTGACTGTAACCCACAAACGTGAACCAACCACGCGGGAGCGAATCCACTGCCAGAGCAGCCAAAAGCCGCTGGGTGCCCACCAAGAACAGCAACACCGCTGCAACGCAGATGGCCCAAAGCTTCCCGAGGGGAACCGGCTGTAGCAGGAGCAGCAGCAAAAGCAGGCTGCAAGACGCCACAGCGGCCGCCAAATTTAATGGAGATGATTGGAGGCCGATACACTTCAGCAACGCCGCAGAGACGGCGCAAGCACAAGATGAAAAGACAATGGCCTTGAGGTGAGTCCCCACAAATAACAAGGCGTTGCCCACCTGCGCACGGCAGCTCGTCTGAGGCAGACGCACAGCGCATTCCCAGCCTTGCAATGCTCTCTGGGCGCATTTCACAAACTAGACAAAGTGCAATGTGCGTGCATGCATGCATGGATGCATGAGTGGACGCACGCATGTACAGGCACGCTTGCGTGCATGTAAATCTACATATGTATTCTTAACTACGCATATCTCTGCGTGCGCATATGCCTGTATATTTGCATTCCAGTGTAAAAATTAGCCAGTGCCTGTTTATGTGTGGGTTTGGCGTCGATCATTTAGTTCTGTCTTTGCCTGCATCATCACAGCACTGTCCTATGTGGATCTGCCTCTCTGCTTTGGTAGTTATCAGCTTGCCAAGCTAGCAAGAGTGCGCCGCGGCAAATTAATGCCAAGAGAGGTCAGGTGTCAGCGCTTTTAGATCTGCTGCTGCATGCATGCTTGACTTACGACCCAGGCGACAAGTACTGCGGTAATGGAGCAAAGGAGACAACAGCCCGAGAAGGTGGTGAGCAACACGCATGCTAAGCGTCTCAGTTTTTGCGTCTTGTCTGCTGATTCCGCCCAAGGAGAGGCAACAAAGCAGAAGAAAGCTGCAGCAAGCTGCCCTGCAAGGGCCACGCAGGCCGCAAAACGTAGAACCTTCCTCATGGTACCCAGCGACCAGTAACGGAGCTCCAACTGATATAGACAGTCATACTCGCGAGAAACGGAAGCGCAGCTGCCGTCACTAGAGCCCTTCAGCGGCGCCTTTGGGTCCTCCATGTCTGTCGACATGAGGCCTTGGTTCCTTTTGAGCCTGCAGCCCTAGTTTATCTCCCTATATCTTTTCCCCTTCGCTTTGCTTCCTCTTTTCTTCCCTCTGATGCTTGTCTTCGTGTTTTAGGCTCCTTCTTCCTTGATTTCAGTCCAAATACACCCCAAAAAGTCAGTTTCTCGCGGTCGCCCCCTCAAGTTCATGTCGTATAGCGCCCACCACAACGCTTGGGGACAACAGAGAACCAGGGCTGGCTGCGGGCCTCGTTTCCAAAATAGGTCTCCACCCGTTTCCTGCTGGATTTGGAAGCTGCACAGGATGGTTCTACTGCTGCGTAGACTGCTTTCAAGGTGCTGCGAGTCTAGCAATGGAGGCAAAAAAGGGTTACCGTTAGCTTTGTAGGCATTTGGAGAATCGGCTAATGGGCAACCTGTAGCTGTCTTTTGGCCGAGGCCCATCCTGCGCACTTATTCTTTTGTTGTTAGAATGAAGTGCCAGCGCCGAATCCCAGACAGTGGCGAGATTCCACGGTTGCAGGATGTCGGCTGCCCGTTGTTGGCTGGCTGTATGCAGAATGTTGGAGGGGTCTCTCGGTTCCGAATTATCGATAATGGGTCTCTTGAAAAGCATAATTTTGAAAGCCTGCGTGAAAGGCTTGAAACAGTCAATTGAGTGCCCGAAAATGACACATTGCTGCCAAGTCAGCAATTGCCCATTGGTCTCCCCTTCGGCGGTGCTTGTGAGGCAGCTGTCGGCCAAGGCCAAGGCTCAAGTACGTCCGTTCATTCAAATTAGTTTCTTGCAAATAAGTGGAGTTCGTTGACTGCATAATTGCCATTTATTTGTTTGTGCTATGCACTTTTCCATTTCTACGGCTGGGAACCTCCACACGAGGCGCCTTGGCTGCCCCACTCTAGCTAAGGCTTGCCGCGCCACATGTAAGGTTATACACATTCACAGTAATACGCACGTGAGTGTAAATAAGCATAATTAAGTCTTGGTGTAAACTGTAAAATATGCTCATACTTGAAAGTCAGCTGTTCCTTCCCCCGCATAAATCTAGCAATGAGCCCGTCTCTATGCCGAGCGTGATGCAATAGCGTAGACGTGGATGTACTGATTGTCCCCAAGGCCATTTTCCGCTTTTCAACCTGTGCATTATCAAAGTCTTCAGCTCCCTGTCGTATCCGGTCCCTACCACTGCTACAGCAGAGTCCGCCGCAATCGTCACAAGCTACTGCCAGCCCCTGCAATTAGTCTGTCTCCTATCTATAGGTTCAATTTCGTTAGAAGACACGATTCAGGTCGCTGAAACCCTTCGGCAGAATTGCGCTGTGTTGCCCTAGCCCAACGGGTACCTCAAAGGCATGGGCTTCAACCACCTTTGACGGGTTCTGATACATCGCCTCCAATACATTCTGAGAGGCGCAGAAAGGCTATTTCAAGAGAGTTCTAAGTGGCACAAAACAAATTTAGTTTTTACTTCCGCCTCGTTCTGTAGATGCCGCCCGTTTCCAGCGGCTCGCGAAGTCAAGCTTCAAAAGCTGAAACAAGCAAACAGCAAAACACAGGCGGAAGTGTAAAAGAACAAGCTGCAACCCGCCATCCCTTGGCTTTTTTCTCTACTTTCTTTCTGGTTTCTCCTTTTTCTAGCTCAAAGCGGAGCTGCATGTGTCTGCAGAAGCCGTCCAAGCAGTAGTGACCTCCACTGAAAAGTTCCACGCGTTCATGCGACGGGCAGTGGAAATTCATGCATTACTGTTCTTCGCTTGCAGGCCCTTCATGCATCCTGCTAGCCAGCCGGTACAGAATGACTCTTCAGCTTACTAAAGCCATCGGGGGCCGCTGCTAGGGCTGATATTCCTTACCATTTGTTTTCTGAAGTATAAGGCGTCGCCTTCTTCTGCCATGGGTGAGCACCCCTCAGCCAGCTGTGTTGCTATCATGCAGCAGAGGACTCCTGTGTCTCTCTCGTCATACTGAGCAGCGATCGACGGCTAAGAACACACGGAGAAACCGCCGCGACAGCCTTAAGGGCAATGCTATGAAGAATGCCTGCCGCAAATATGCAGCAAACTGCCATGTAGAGCAATCTACAGCGATAAAAAAGGACTAATAGTGACATTAAGGGGGCGAATTTGAGGCAATCAGACCTCGGAATCAAAGTTGGTACGATAGAGGCTGTAGACCCTGAGGCCTGCAGATCGGCAGCATATGGAGAGGTATCGAGTGATTATATTAAAGGCGCACATTACGCGTATAAAAGCAAGACGCAAGGCAGTTATGCTGCCTGCAGTGAATGTGCATGGGTTACCCCAACTGAGGATTTCCCAGAACTGGCTGTCCTGGCTTACCGTGCTTCTCTGCAAGCCGCTTGAGCAGGGGGAGCAGGTGCTGCACTGGAATCTTTCCTGGCTCTCCGAAAGGGTCAAACCAACGAAGCAAGAACAGCACCGCATTGGGGCCCGTGCTGCAGCAGCACAGAGGAGAATCCAGCGCAGGTGGCAGTGATTCCCATCCACAGAAAGTGCAGCAGCAGATGCAGTTCTTGGCAGAAAAAAGCTAGTGCTTAAATCGTGGCGTAGATACTGAAGGCTATGCAAATCCTGTTGTTGACGACCTTAAAAAAATTAAGACTTTGAATAAAACCGCGAGTGGGCGTAGACAAAAAGGCGGTTACTAGAGTGAATGTAATGAACCAGCGCAAAGTCAAATGAGTTATTTCTAGAACTCTGGGAGCGTGAAGCCCCACATGGTGTCCAGAATGAGAGCTGAATAATGCGTTGAGCCGCTCAGTAAGGGCAAGACAGTTACTTGGGCTTCCAGCACCCCGCGGGTCTCCAATGCTTCCTGCAACCCGCAAGACAGCAGGCACACCCATTACAGAAAACCTCTGAGCCACGAGCTGGGAGTCCTATACTCTATGTTGAGAGCCTGCAGCAGCCGTCGTAAAGCATTTTCTTCACGCTTTGACGACTTTCAGAGCCTATGGTGTTGCACCTAAGCAGGATTCCTCACCAGAATAGCCTCGTTGTCTTCAGGGGACAGAACGGGGGAGAGAAGTTTTGAAGCCAACTCCACAGTCAGGCTTGTCTGCTTTGGTCTTCTCCTCCTGAAACACCACACGACACCGCAGCCAGCCACAGCCGTACTGCTGAATAAAAGTCAACGAACTCTGCGCAAGTTGCCTTATGGAGTCTGAGGCAGCCTCCCCGTGACTCAAAATCACTGATTTGCTCGTGGGCGTGAGCTATGAGGCAACACATGTACTTTGGCGTCGTCAGCGGTGTCTTGTTGATCTGCAAGGCCACATGCACAACAGCACAGATTCACAGAATCTGCAGAACTTTCAGTTGGGTGTGCAGCGGCAGCTGCGGCCTGCGTGTGAAGCTGCAGCTCGAGTTTGATGCGTTTACAAGGCTGTGATGTGGCACTCACCTCGAGGGCCTTCAAGAAAACGTTCACCAGATTAGGAGTCAAGGCTTCGTTGTGTAGCATGATTCCTTGCTCTTCTCTGGATGCACAATAAAATGCCGGCGCTAAAAGGAGTTTTGAGAGACCCGGCTCCCAGTAAAGCGAGCGCATTGTCTTGTGCCACAGGCAGAGCATATATGCAGGAGCGAAGCAACGGCAGACGCTTGAACCTTACGGGTTTACTGTCATCCCTTCAATCTTGAAAGGTGGAAAACCCGCCTGCTCCCAGCGACTAACGACACTGCTGATGAGTTCCTCCTCTGCAGACAAGCCCCTATACATACTCTGCTGCTCCCCGCAAACTTAGTGCTGCTGTTGCTTGTGGGTCGCCGGGCAGACGCGATAAAGATCGTCAGAGTTGACTCACCTGAGCGTGTCATTTTCCTGGCTGTCTCCCCGCACTTTTCATATCTCTTGTTGATCTTTGTAATCTGGGGAAAAATGCAGCAACTCATACGATGATTTTTAGTTATCAGGTGTATCTTCAGCTTCCTATGAAGCGAGCTCGCGCGCTCACACAAACCAGTGCGGGTAACCCCAACCGTGCTCACCGCTTTGTTCACAACTGACGCCGGTAAGGATGATCCTTCGAGGTTTCGCAAGTCAACGGGCCCATTTACAGGTGCGGGGGCCTCATCTTCTGCCGCTGAAGGCCCCTGTTCTCTGCTCGTCTCCCCGTCGCTCCAGTCGCTCTCTTCGGAGTCGCTAAACTCGGGAGTATCACCGGGTTGCTGCTGCTGCTGCTGCTCTGCCTCCACAGGGATGTCTGTGTCGGAATCTTGTGGGTCCACACGGAGCTGTAAACGCACAGGCTTACGTTGCCGCTGCATCTGCTGCTCTTCCAATGGTCCTTCCGTGTCGCTGTCGTCTGATTCCGAAGAGCTAGAGTGCAACTGGAAGTGCACAGATTGCCGGTGTCGCTGCGTTTCCTTCTTCTGTTTCTGCTGCTGTAACAATTGTTCACCATTTGCTGGGTTCAGCGATCCTCGGTGCACCTTGAAGTGCAAAGATTTCCTGTGCCGCTGCTCCTTCTGCCACTGGCGCTGCTCCCCTCGATGCGATGACTGAACTGCTGCTTGCCCCACGGGTTTACCATGCAGCCTTAGGTGAAGAGATCTCCTGTGCCACTGCTGCTTTTGTGATTCCTGAGGTTGTTGCGATTGCCCTTGGCCGTGTTGCCAATGGCCAGTGGTCCTAAGCAAGGCCTCGCCCGACTCCGGCTTGTCGACCGTCAGCCACCAGAAGCAGCTTGGCCCCTCTTCTTCCCTAGAAAACGCATAAACAAGGGATGAATCTCAGTCCCACTAGTGCATCCAGGGGAACAATTGTCCCACACTGCGATCTAAAGAGGGCCCCTGATGATCTCGTACTTTTGTGCCAAACTGCTCCATCTTATAAAAAAGACTTACGGCATTGGGTTCTCTGAAAGGGAAAGAGGCCTTTGGTAGCGTGGAGAAGAGAAGGGGACTTTCGGGGCGTCATGAGGTTCCAAGGCCCGCGCGGGGCTACGGGTCGGGATAGGCTCTCTTTCTGCAGAAATACGCGTAGCGCAGAGGGCATTGCAACGAAAAGGAAACCAGTGGAAACTGCGGATGAGGAGGCACAACTTCATGCGGTGGCAGAAAATACCTAGCCCCGTAATGGGGATAGAACAGCAGACAAAAATAAGGGAAGAGCACATGCAAAGGCTCGAAGATCCACCGGAAAAACGGAGAGAAGATATGAATTGGGAAGCGGGCAGAAAGAAAAAATAAAAATTTGAAATGCAGACAAACAAGCACGAATGGAGGTGCGGGCAGAGGAAGAAGCGCCAAAATGACAGAGGGCACAAATGAGAAAGAGAAATTGTAAGTAAAAAAGAGATAAAAAGATATATAACCTAGAGAACGAAAGCGGTGCCAAGAAGACAGTGACAATCAGGCTCTTAAGCTAATGATAAGGAGACTTCTTAGCCTCAACATTCACCCGCGCCATTCGCTCGATGAAGCAGCTGAAAGAGAGCTGCCAGCCCTAGAATAAGCCCAAACATGCTGTATCTGAGTTAACTTTTTTATTGCTGTTTTGTTCTGTGCCTCCAGTTTGCCTCCTAGGGAGTCGGCAGCGCATGCCTGGACGCAGTTTGGCCCCAGGAAAATTCCCGGCGCCCCCAATCTCAGCTGCTTTGGAGGATTAGAGCTTGTATTCAATGATATAATGTTTGTGGGTAAGCGCTTTGTGGGCTGTGGATCATCAAGCCACCGCACATGCACTGCAAGGACGGCGAGATTCGGCACCAGCCGGCAAGCTACTCAAGTGAGGGGCTAGACGCCCTGTTTCGTCTGCCTGTTCCAATTGAATCTAAATTATAAAAATGGCCATACTATAATCATTTACTAGGTGTTAATCCATGCAAGCGGGAACCAAGAAGGTCTGAGGCCTCAGCAGACCGCCCCGCCCGCTGCCGCCTCTATGTCCAATGGAGTCTCTAAGTCTCCAACGCGTGCAACTGTTTCTGGTGAACTATGGAACAGAAATGAAAAATAATATCATACGGTTTTATTTAATTTTGTTTGTTTCCTGGCCTTTGTGTTTGTCTTCAGCAGGTGCTGGAGCAGTAGCGTTGAGCGCGGCAAATGCGTCCCGCCTGGAGAGAGTCGCGGCTGAGCCCAGGCGATCGTCTGAGCATAATCACTTTCCACAGTGTTTTGCTCTATAGAAAAGCAGATTTCACACAATTTTTAAGTTCGTTTTACAGCTTCACGAAAGGGGAGGGATGCCGAAGGAAACGGCGCTCTCACTGAGGCCACTGGCCCGCCGTGCTGTCCACAGAAAAGTCGTGCAGCAGTTACTGCTCTTGCCACTGCTCTAGTTGCAGCTTTTCGCCAACGATCTTTACCTTTTGCTTCTGACATTTGTTGTTTAGATAATCGAACTAAAGCAGCCGTGTTTATTTTCGAAGGCTGTATCGGCGGATTTTTCCCTTTGACTGGAACAGCACGCTGCTACTGTGTTCAGCCTTCATGAATAACGCGTTGTGCATATTGAGGATATTATTTCTGTGTTTCTCAGTGCTTTTTCAGGCCTTTTTATGACACGTGGACCATGGTGGCAGCTGCCTTCCTGCTCCCCACTTGATCGCGTTTCTCTTCTCAGCCCCACTGTTGGGAGGTGGGAGTGGGCAAGATGGTAGTCCTCTGTGTCAGCGTGCATCGCCTGCTATTGTCTCTGATGCTGCTGCGTACTACTAGGGTAATGCCTGCCCAAGCTTAGCAAAGGTTGCATCACTGCGGCAGAGGTTTCAACGGTAGTAATTAAATTACAGCAGCTAAAGCTTGACTTCATTGGTAGTAGTAGCTTTTTACAGCAGAAGTATCGCTCACAGATGTCTGGCTCTGAGCTTTCCCTGATGTCTTCGTATTAAATGTTGCACGTACCTTGACTGTTTGAGGCCGCAATTGCAGGATTAACAACAGCAACAAAAGCAGCTGCAGCTGTTGCCCCTAAAATAAATGTAGCATTTAGTTCTGCTGTCACGGCAGTGAAGGCCCACTTTCCTGTCTCAACTCAAAGCCCCAAGACCCTCCTGATAAGTGTTGTCTCACGGAGTACTTTACTAGCGATACCCAAACGGATTGCTTTCTGGCTCCCTCAGGCATTTCCTGACCAAAGCCACATGTGCTTGACTTTTTAAATAATTTCGAGTGAATTAAAAAAGTGTTCAGAGTTTATGATTCGTTTAGTAGACGCTCTTGTGGGTTGTGGGTGCCCCTCGAGCTTCAGGCTGCACCGGAAATCAGATTAGCCTGTCTCCAGCGTGCAAGCAGGAAACTACGTGCCCCTCCTAGCCTGAATGTATTGGTCCCCTTTTTCCCTTGCCAGAGTCTTCCTTCACCTTTCTATGCTGCAACTAAGGCAATACTGCATGGGGCGGGGGCGGCACGAGTATTTTTTGGGGAGGAAGGCACTGGGGAGGCAGTGGTAATGTGGCCGGGGGTGGAGGGGGCCCAACCGGTGTGGTGATCACTGGTGTAGCGCACGTCTCGATCACTGCGTGAGCGTGTGGCTGGTGTGCTGCAGCGTGAGCAACAGCCTCGCAGAGCTCCCTGTCTCTTTTTTGCTGCCTTCTCTTTCTTCTGTAGGCATTAATTTTTGGCCCGAAGGCGCGAGCAAACATGAGTGTTGCGGGGTAGAGACAAAGGAAGACCTGCATTGCTGCCATTTGCACCAGGCCAGCCACGCCGACCTCATGGCCCAGGGCAGTAGCCCACTGAGCTAAATTCACCAAGGTTTTTAGCTGGGCAAGCAGCGATGACTCTTTGTGGGCCCTGTTGCTATAGTTGACGACATATGTCTCTTTAGCGGCTGCCCAAGCGACAGCCGCAACCAGCGCCGCCGCTCCAAACAGCCCCATCAGTCCCGCGAATTGCCATCTCCCCAAGCATCCAAAATTCAAGCATAGGAGACAAGCAACAGATAGCAAAGCCGCCGGAGCTCCAAACACGGGGGGCGCCAGGCCCCCTATTGCCCCCTGCACCAGCAGAAAAGTCACTGCCCACGACACTAACAACGCGAAACACGTCCTGGACACAAAAAGCACATACCGGGAAATGTAATTTCCAGTTTGCAAACTGCGAGCGACTGAAGCCTTCATAAGCTGCAGTCATATCCGCGGAGTGTCAGCTACTTGAGTTGGGGCCTCTAGGAAGTCTGAAGAAGCTCATTACGCCTTAGTACGAAGTTAAAGTAGAAAACTATTCTAAACTTTGGTTTACGCTATAGAGGCTTGTCTAGCTCGTTAGCATTTTGTACGTACGTGGCGGCGCCTGCTGCAGTGTCATGGCATGTGGCTCTTGCTGCTCTTGCGCTCGCTGCTGTTGCTGCTGCTGTCATGGCACCTGCTGCTCTGATAATGTGCTCGTGAGTCTTAACAAAGAGCAGGGTGCCATAGTTAAAGGGGACCATGAAGGCAACAACTGCGGGGGTCCGCTGGGCAGACTGAGCCACGGCGTAGCCACAAAGCCACGCACCACAAGTGACAGTGGTAGCAAGGCAAATAAGGGACTGCACTATGCTAAGGGCGCGAAGGACTTTCGCCCATTTGCAGCAGCCGAGGTAGATCGCAACAGCGCCCGCAACCGCAACAGCGAACGTAAAGATCAGGAGCAAAGCCACCAACACAAACGCCAAACACCAGGCGTACGTCTTGGGATCCCTCTGTAGCACGTAAATGTAGATAGACGGCAGCTCAGGGTCCAGAATGTTGGGGAGAAGCCCGTGAAGTCTCATGCCGTTGGTGGCGGCTGCCAATAAAAGCAGCGCTGCGCCCAGCTGCAGACCCACAGAAGCAGCAACTAACCCCAGCGGCGGCAAACACGGCAAAAGCCTACACGTCCACTGCCTATTAGAGCTCTCTGTAGACAGCTCAGAGTCAACCGAGTATAGGGGATACGCCACGGTCAGTGCGCCTGGTTCAAGCACCTCATCAGGGTCCGCGTAGGTCACCCCCACGTCCCCCCGCCAGACCACGTCTGCCGGTGCTATCATCAGACAAAGGCTTCATGCTCTTCTGCTGCGGCTGTCGTTGCTGCTAGGGCTATTGCTCTTGCTACAGTCAATCTAAACTCAAACGGTCCCAGTCCCCGCGCTCCTGCCAGCCGCCCTCAGCTGGCAAGGGAGACAGCAACATCAACCTCCTCATGCCGCCCGATGCCTAAGGGCTGCTGTTTGCCTTTCGGACGGAGCAGCGAATCGAAAGGCTTTCACGAGATGTGTAGACGTCTAGTGTATCTCTGTAGTGTGCGGCTGGAAGTAGGCCTCGCTATTGCATGTTTACGGACTAAGACTAACCCTTATATGTGTTAACACTCTTGTTTCATTTCAGATTACGTAAAGCCACGAGCAGGCGACACCTCCGCTGGCCTTTCGTTCATTGGTTGTTGGTCGCACTCGGTGGGCACTGAACATGAGACGGCTGCAAAGGACAAAACACAGCTGATCAGCCAGCAGCTAGTGTTCATCTAAACTGAATCCTGAAGTCATAGAGCACAGGGTGGCACCATGGCTGCACGGAAACCGGCATTCGAGCGGTTCCAACCATGACCGGGGCTGCATGCGAGTGCAACACCGGATCTGGAACTGCTGTAAAAGCCGTCAAGCTGCAAGCCCCGCATAAAAGTGAACACTATGATTGCCAATATCAATACATATTCTAACTTCGAAGAACTTAGAGTTAGCGCCTACGTGTGATCTACGGGTCACCAGCCCCCTCACCGCCTCTGGCGGTCACCGCAGGACCAACTCACAGCTTCATGGGGGCCTCAACACTGCTTGCATCCATTGTATGCTAAATTCATGAGTGGTTGAAATGACTGTCAACTCAGCATAAAGCAGCAGCCGCCTCACGTACGACTGCAACGGAAACGGCAGCAAATAGAAGCACGCACACACCTTTATCTCCTCGCGTACCTGGCTAATAGTGTTCTGATTAGTACGCATTTTAAGAGTGGGCCAACTGCAAGTAATTGAGGCTAACCTGGCCATGGCGGCGCGACCGGGAGATGGAGCTGTGCTGCTCCTCTTCCCAGAAATTCTGCGACAGAAGAAGGTATAGCGCTACGCGTAACTCTCACTTGCTAGTTCTGCTGCGATCAATTCAGATACTCTCAAGCCCAAAAGAGCATCCATCCGCTAGTGTAATTGGGTATTTCAACGGACGAGCTGGCATGCGTGTAGACTTTACTAAACAGAGTTGCCTGGTTCGCTGACCAATATTTTTCAAAATCTACTGCATATACACCAGAGCTGGCCTGATCGAATTGCTAACGCTTATTGATATTTGAGGGCCTTCCTACATCGCAAGCCCGTGATAGCTGTATGCGCCACAAGGAAACATGCCGTGAAGGCTTGACTGCACAGACTAAACACGAGAAGGAGAACTCTGGGCTTTTCTTCAGGCAGCAGAGGTGGAGGAGCTGCTGCTAGACATGTGCTATGACATAATCAGGACAAAGACCGTCGCATTCACTGAGGTACTGCAAACTTTAGTGCTTGGGATTTATGGGTCAAGGCCAAGCTCTGCTTAATCTTCTTATTCGAGCTGAGAGATGAGGGCTAGGATTAATGGCTCTTGCTGTGACAAGAGGGAAGCAGCAATCTAACTGCTTCACGTAGGAGCCAAAAATCCTGCCTAGGGCTTAAGTCTTCGGGTTCAGGACTTTGCTGCTGCAGGAAGAGGCGAGTGGAGCTTTTCCCGAAACTCCTGAAGGATGGATTCGCTCCCAGTTTATCGAAGAGCTTACACGGGGTTTGTCAGCCATCATTTTGTTGCAGCACCCTCTAGGCAAGACGCGTAAGCGGCTGTCTGAGTCTCTTGCTGCTGCGACTTCACTAGCTACTACATCAATAACTGATGCAGCTGCTGCTGCAGCAAAAGCTGACGCCGATGATGACGCGCAAGAAGAAGATGAAACCGGCTTGGCTGAAGCGTGAGGCCCCTGAGTGCACCTGCCATCCCTAGCTAGCTGTAGAGATATGTATACAGAAACAACGATGTGGAGAAAAACGGAAGCCATGAATCCACTATACACAAGGCATTCACACAAGGAGGCATAAACAGAAAGTGTGGCCCGGACACAGAAATACCGACACAGACAAAAACAGAGACAGAATGAAAAAAAAAGGAACAGGCAAATGGGGACATATAAGGAAACAGACTGCAACACACATTGAAAGGCAGAGGCAAACAATTAAGAGAGAGACACTGCAGCCGATAACCACAGAAAAAGACAAACAGCGCGTCACATCCTCAGACACTTGCCCCAAAGGAGCTTCATAAAATAAGGGCAGGGGACAGAAGCGCACACTAAATGAGCATTTAAGGGGAAGCAAAGAGACAAAAGCAAACGCATGCTACTGAACGTCTCACTTGAGCCTCTTTTTCACGTATTAGAGCTTCAAACTTGACGTTTCAGTCCTGGCACTTGGAACTAGTAATAATTCACCATTAAATGTACGACCGTGTCCTGCAGGTTTCGCAAAGCTTTCTGCATTGGACCCACTGGACCTCAGCAGTTTTATCTGAGCACTTGCAGATGGACCTTTGAAAGAGATGTACTCTTCTTCTACCCTTCAGGTTAGCTGTTGCTGCTGCCACAGTTGCTGCTTCGCTTGTTGCTGCTGCCGCTGCGTGGGTTGCTGCACTTCATGCAATTTGTGGCGCTGTTTTGCTGGATCGCATAGATGGCCATGGCCGTATCACCACTGCAGCTCTTGCTTCACTGCTTCTTGTGTTACAGTGAAGCCGTCTGAAGTAGAGCGTTCAGTGCTGCTGGTAAAACCCAACGTGACAGCAGCTGTTGCAGCAGCGGAAGCGCGTGGGGAGTCGTGTCCTGAGAAGGCTTTGGAGGTGCTGCTGCTGGAAGAGGGCCTCACAATTTTGGCATCCGTTAATTTTCAGCCCAGGAAAAGGGATATACAGAAGCTGTTCCCCGGCCACACTGAAAAGGTGCTTACAGCTTAGAACATCGAACTCAAAACCATAACTGATAAACCGTCACCCGCACTGGGCTCGACAAGCCAACGGTTGACCACCAATCAATTCCCAATAAAGTCCAAAGTCTACGCTCCTGAACATGCACATAACCCGCTTTCTCCGTAGCAAAGTGCACGAGCGCCTGGATTGCATAGAGTCGCTGCAGTTTTGGCTTTTCTGCCCCGCTTTTAATACCATAACAAGTCACACGCAGAGCTTCCGCAACAGGTGAAGCCCACAGTACACTATCACGCAGGCTCTTAACTATCCATTGCACACCTGAAGCGCCACCAGGACACACAAACAAGCAGTTCTGGGGAGCTCCAAGGTTAACGACTCACACCCGCAGGAGCTCCCAGTTAATTTATGGGGGCCTCTCTGTCCAGCACAGCGTATAGGTGCTGCCACGCATGCAAACACCAAAGCCTTGCGGGGGCACTTGCAGCAAGCATGGCACATTAGCACGCGCTTCAAAGGACTGCGCACTAGCACGAGCCCTCCCTGACTCCGCAGGCCACTCAGGGACGGTGGGGCAGCTCCAACGGAATTCAGGAGCCTAAAGGGCTTTCGGATTTTGTGTGCCTCCTCGAATTGTCGATATCCTGCTGCCGCTGAGGCTTATGCAGGCCATAAAAATTGCTGCCACTTCTGTTGCAGCAAATGCCAATGATGCGTACCTGTCGCTGCTGCCTGAAGAGCTATGATGGTACGATTTCTTGCTTCTGGCTTTGCGTCTGCAGCCCTACTACCATGAGATGGAGGACTTTCTGTGCGAATCCCCTGGATGCAGTAAGTCTGCTGCACTATGAGTCAAGCTCCCGGCATCATCAGTAGCAAAAAAGCCGACTCCAACAGCAATTGATGCAGCTGTTGCATTGCTCGGACGCAGCTGTTAAGCTACCCTTACATTTGAACTTCCGCAGAACTGTTGAAGTCATTTTCGTTGTCATTACCACCATTATCGGCAGCAGCAGCAGCAACAGCAATAATAAAAGCAGCACCAGTTGTAGAATGATTAGAGCAAGCCAGCATGGGCGTCGCTGCAGCATTGCCATTGCCATTGTCTGCCTAAAGCAGCAACCACAACAAACCATAAGGCATTGTCAACAGCAGCAGCAGTAGCAGCAGCAGGCATCTGTGCGTGCTCCCATGTGCAGAGGCCATCGCTGTGGAGGGCTACGATGCCCTCCGTCGCCTTCGGCAGCTCTGCGGGCCCCCTGATCCCGCAAGAGCCGCCATACTTCGCCCCAATAGCCTTCGAGCCCTTTGCGGTTCTTCTTTGCTCAGAAACGGATTTGTGAGCAGCAGTGGAAACAACAGCACGGCACCAGCTGCGGCAAATTAGAAATCTTGCTTGCTACTGCATACCTTCATTTAGCAGCAGCCCTAACACAGATAAGAACTGGTTTTGCTAGTTCGCCTGGTGTCGCCGCTAAAATATTTTTCTCTGGAGGTTTGGCTAGTACTGCTGCTTCTCGTAGTGGAGATGCTATTTTTCTGCGTTTTCTTCGGCTCCTACAGCATGCACCCAAAAACCGAGCCGAAGCTGCGCGTTTCTTGGAACTGTTGTTCGGAAGTCCTCCGCATCCGTTGCCCCTCATCCGACCTCAACGCACGTTTGCCGTTTTCCTCATGAAGGAACTGCCGCTCTTGCAGCTGCACCTGCAGCAAGAAGATCACAGGCAGCAAAAGCAGCAGCAGCTCCATTCGCAGCATCAACCGCAGCAACAGCAACAACAAATCCGTAAGTTACTCAAGCAGAGGGGATTCTACATACTGTGGGAAAGAGAGATGAAGCTGGACAAGGAGGCCGTTGGCCTTCTCTGCCAGGTGAGGATTTTTTGCATTTGCCATTGCTGCTGCTGGCGCTGCCTCGTTACTTATTTCGCCTTGAGCGCTCCAAGTGTTTTCCCGCAACTTGCTCCTTTAGCGATTTCCCCTGCTGCTACTAATGTACTCGTTTCTGTTGCTGATCGTGCTTCTGATGTTTGCACTGCATCTGTGGCTGCCATGCCTGCTTAAGGAGTGGCAGGACCGCCCTAGCTACGATTCCCTTTTGTCTTCACTTGAGGGTCAACCAGCCTGGACCTTGTTGCTAGCGCGCACTGGAGCCCCTCGTGTCTTTTCGGATCTATTGGGGCCCTGCTGCCCCATGCCTCTAGGAGCTGCAGCTGCCGCTGCTGCAGTAACGGCGGCAGCAGCTGCTGCTGCTGCAGCAACGGCGGCCAGAGTCTTGGCGAGTGAAAACGGCGGCAGCAGCAGCAGTGGAGAAATTCTTGCAGCTAGGCTGCAAGCAGAAAAAGCCGCAGCAACAGCAGCAGCAGCTGCTGCTGCTGCTGGGATGCCACGACCAAGCAGCTTTTGCGGAATGGCCCGCCGGTGCGTTGGCTTTGCTGCAGCAACCGAGGAGGAGGCAGCAGCACTCGCTACCGCCTGTTCTGATCGGCAGCTGCCACTGTTGCTACCACCTACTGCAGCAAATACTGCAGCATCGTACCTTTTAGAGGCCGGAGACGCAATCGAAGGCCCATCAGCGTAAGCACTACCTAAAACCACCTAGGCACTGCTGCTGGTGCTGCCCATGAGGCACGCAGCAAAGAGAATTTCTGGAAAGATTACATCTGGGGGGCACCTGGGAAATAGCTGTCGCTGGTGCCACCCTGCCTGCTGTCAGTTTCGTTTTTCCTGGTGCTAGTGCTGTTGCTTCACGATATGTAGTCCAGGAGAGTGGAAAGGCTCCAAGGCCGGGCAGCAAAACCTCCAATCACTCCTCCTGAAGTAAGCAAGCGTACAGCATGCAGCCCTTCAACTTCTTGCCGCTTCTTCTGCCAATGCGATGACTAATCCAGTCCTCGATGGTGCCACCCATACTTTCCAAATGTCCCGCTTCTGTTGCTACGAGTGTAACGGCTGCAACTAATGCTGCTATTGCTGCTACCTCTTATGCGGCTGTGTACACATTCGCCGTTCTCGTTTCAGGTGCCTCAAGGCTCTGTGTGAGCAGAATCCTCGGCCCCAGGGCCTGAAGGCGATTGCCTGGATAGGCCATTGGATTGAAGACGAGGTCAAAAGAGAAAGGCAGTTAAAGCAGGATTTGGCTAACTCTGCTAACCTTGCAAACAGTAAGATTCACAACCTATGGGATTAAACAAGTATTTGAAGACTGGAACTTTTCTGTTACAGTCAGTAGTTAATATGGCGAGTTTGAGGGCGACTCCGAAGGGTTGGGGTTTGAAGTGATGGGCAAGAGGAAGTGCTAAAAATGACAAAAGTCAGCGTGTAGCTGTATGAGCTACCGTCGCTGCCACTGGTCCTGCTGTTGCTTTTGCCATTCCTGCTGCGAATTTGCTCCTAAGGCGTACGCCCTGGAGAAGAAGGAAAGAATGCTGCGGAGAAACAACAGCAGCAGCTTCAGCGGCAGCAAAAGCGACAGAATTCTCAGCGTAGGCAGAATGCCAGCACAGAATGCAGTGCCGGCGGGCCCCGTGTGGTATTGCTGCTAGGGAACCAGCCGGAACATCAACCGCCGCACCCCGGAATAAATCCGGCCCCAATCTTATCCGCAGGTGTGTTACTGGGCGAGGCATCTCTCGTGAAGACGCAGTAATGGCACGAGTTGATGCTGCTTGAATTTTTTGCCATTCGCGCCAGCGGTGTCATCGCCTAATATTGCTACTCCTGTGTATTTCCGTTAAGCAGTACAGCTTGCGGTTCCTTCTGCGCAGCTGAGCTGTTAAAAGAGGCTGTGGCTGCAGAGGAGCCTGCAAGGGCCCTACGGGACCTGCTTAATTTGAAGCTGTCTCAGCGCAAGACTTGCAGCAGCAACAGTACTTGTGGTAGCAACAGCAACTGCAACCATGCAACGCTTATATCTGTAGAAAATAAATTGGGAGCCAAGGACTGGCGGAACTTAACAGAGGCTTTCTCCGAAGTGCAGCCCCTCACATTCATTCCTCAAGGTGCGGCGCCCTGTGGTCAGTGGCATGAGCAGTACCAGATGCAAGAAAGGCAGTGGACGGCCTAGCAACAGCTGAGATACTCATATTTGTTGCGGGGCTTGACAGGCACAGTCGTCTCCGGAACTGCTGCATTGACAGCCCTCTCTCGTGCAGAGGCCACCGGCCGGGTAGGGAACTGCTGCAAATGAAGCCGTGCACCCTAACGAGGGAGCTATAGGCTCTTGCAGTTGACTCCTAGAAAAACATAAAGATTCCTGCGTCACGTACCTGAATCCAGTTTACTAAAGAACGACTGCGCATGACGTAAAGGAGCGGCATTTGCCCCGCAGCGCCCAGGTTGTTGAAAGCAGTTGATCAAGGCCTGCAACTGAAGGTTTAGATCACGGAGTAGTGGAGAGCATAGAATGATGCAACTTGAGCTCAAACGTAGAGCGCTTTCCTGCTGTTTTGCAGCTTGTCAAGTACTGCAGCAGCACAAGCGCTCGTACTGCTGTCGCTGCTGTGCTGCGGCCCTCTCTCTTGTTCGTTTTCGCCGACTCCGAGTTGCCGCTTGCCCCACTGCTGCAACGGCTGTGCTGCTCTCTCGGCCTGGCCCACATTGACATGGACAAACTCGCAGTGTCAGCAGCACCAGGTGTTGTTGCTGCTGCTTCTGGTGCGGCGAAAGTCAAGGTTTCTCAAGCATCCCTCTCCGCGGCTGTGGCTTGCCCTGCTCTGATAGACAAAGTAGCGGAGCTCCAGAAAGAAGGCAAGAACTTAAGCCCTAAATTATTGTCCTCTAATTGGTGGCTAGAGGCATTTAAACTTAAAAACCAATAGGCCCTGAGAACTACGGCTAGCCGCTAGCTCATGATTATGGCGGTGCGAAGTAAAGAAAAGCGCCGCCTGTAAGCTCTGACCAGAACTTGATTTGTTGCAGGTTGTCCAGCTTAGATACGTTTGATCCTTGTCAAGTGCTAATGCGTCACGGTGTGGTGCGGGGGTCTTAGAGCGTGGGGTTAAGGGTTTAGTGTTCAGCGTCTATGTTGTTCAGGCTACTCGGGCTTCATTGTGTCAAACTTCCCACGGAGTTCTCTTCAGCTTGACTTTGTCGAGGAAATGGTTAGAGACACACAAATACACACAATAAAAGGAATTTCAGTGAATTCGGGGATCCTTTAGGGGTCCTTGAAAGCCCCGTAAGGTTCTTTTGGAGCCTGGCTGAACTGACGAGAAGCACTCCACGTTCTACTTCGGCAGTCTGTTGAGAGTCTCTCGCCAGCACTTAGGGGGCGCATTGAGGATCACCAGAACCCACAGCGTCTTTGTAAAAAGCACATACATTCTTGTGGAGCACTTAGGGAGCCACTTGCACTTCAATGTCCGCTTATTGTTAAGCTGGCTGCGTTCGACGTTCACTGTGCAGAGGCCCAATTGCTGCTGTTATTAATGCTAGCTGTCTTGCTGCTGCTTGCATCCTCAGCTTCAGTGCCGTATGTGGGGTTTGTCTATCTCTTGCCCACTGAGCTTCTCAAAGTCGCTGCCCTTGGGTTCCCCCAGTGACAAAACCATTTTGGAGCTGGAGAAGAACAGAGCCGCGATGGAGTCGTTAGAGGCGCAAGAAGCTATCGAATCAATGAAAGTAAGGGAAGACAAACACTCACCCAGTACACTTACTGCCTATTTCGCAATTTGGAGCTCTTTGGAGTTTCTGTGCAACTCTGAGGAGCTCCATTGACGGCCTGCACCAGGCTCGTGGACGCGCGCTATGAAGTCAGCAACTCCATTCTGTGGCGCTGAACACCTACACCGTAGCAGGCAGCAACAAATGCAGAGGCAGGAGGCGCTACCACAGCGGCAATGAATGCGCTAGACTGCTCAGAAACATGTCGAGAATATTTGAATTAAAATGGCTGAGGCGCCGGCACATACATGCAAATACGCCTTCTGCTGCAGGCAAAGCTGCGAAAGTAGCAGCGGAAACAACTGCAGCAGGCACAGCTGCAGCCACAGGATCAGCCACAGCAGCAGGTGTACAAGCAGTAGAAGCAGCAGCATCTGAATACTAACACAGTGTATGATTCTTCATTGCTGCAGAGTCGGGGCCTCTTGTACACTGCAGACTTATCTCCCCTTCTGCGAAAAGGCCTTGCTGCTGCACCACACGTGCTGCAACGACTGTTGCAGCAGGCGGCGGCGCAACAACTACAAGCTCGCGTGCTGCTGTTGCATGGACCACCCGAAACCACAGAGATAGCAGCTGAAGCAGCAAAGGATGTTTTGCCGGGTACAGTTGTTGCGGATGCGGAAGCTCTTCTCTCTTTGGAGCAGCAGCAGGAGCAGCGGTACCAAAAGCAACACCTAGGCAGCAGCTGCTGCTACTGTGGAGTCCCGGACGGAAATTGCGAGTGCCTCGGAGATGTCAGTGTCTTTTACGGTGATGGCGCTGCCACCAGCAGCAGCAGCTGTGCAAGCAAGAGCAACACGGCACGCTGCTTTCCCTTTGCAACAACAGAAAGTGCAGAAACGGCGCTACAGTCGCCGCAGTCAAAGAACCCTTAATGCTTTGTTTCGGGGCATATCTTTGCGCACTGAAGCAACCATTTGTGTGTTCGTATTTCTGTCACCTATGGCTAGATGCATTGCAGTCAATTTATTTCATTTGTTTTGTTCAGCACTGGTTTACTTTTGTATTTTGCTCACAGCAAGGGATCCTGCTCTCCCGAGCAATAAACAAGCTCGCATGGCTACGCACCGCCCCTTTGGTGGCCCTCCGCCTCCCACCGTCACTTTTAGGCGCAAACGGAGCTCGAACGCTGGACTCCAACTGTTCTGTAGCAGCCTTGCTGCATCTGTTGCCCGTCACAGGTAAAGGCTCAACAACAAACGCAAATCCTTTTCTGGTCTGGCCTGCAAAAGGCCTGCAGTGCTATTGTCTTAACTTGTAGTCCCTAAAATAGCAAAGCTAAGAGTGAAGGGTTCACGCATTAAGGCTGACGAGCTGTGGCTGTAGCGACGGAGCATGTGGAAGAAGAAGAAGAAGTGAACCTTCCTATCGAGGACCAAGAGCCACCTAGTGCCGCTCTTTTGCATTTCGCCACTGAGGTAACGTGTATATGTGATCAACAAAACATTAAAGTGACTATCTCTGTGCACAATGACTGGCTTCCATTCACACCATTCCACTGAGATCCGCCTCGGTCTGTAGGGGTTTGGTCACCGAGCTGTTGGCGGTCTCAACGTCTCCAAGTGCAGCAGCAATGCGCTTGTAAAAGTCGCCTGTTTGCACTACTGCTGCAGGGCAAAGCCAAACGCATTCTGGTTGTCACAGGAAATGATCCACTGATGCTACGCGAAGAGCTGTCGAGGTGTCTTAAGCAATCTTGCGGTTGCTGATGCCACTGCCGTTGCTGATACTGTATACTAATGTTTTTGTTGCCTTTGATTCCATTTCGCGCCTGGTTGCATTTTTTGTTGCAGCGTTCTGCGACCTGAAGTCGCCGCTGTTGTGTCCCCCAAAGGCCTTGCAACCCCTATTTTCGGTCAGACAATAGCTAAACTGCTGGGCCTTAGGCTCATACCAGACTTTGGTAAGCAGCAGGACTAGGAGCAACAGTTGCTACTGCTGCTTCTCATTAGACAGGGACCAGCGACACAAGCAAGTCCTTCTCTTTCTGCTCTAGCTGAGAGGTTGCGTGGCATCTGCACCAGCGCGACGGCAAAATAGCTTTAGAATATTGCGATATTTGATGTGCCCTTGCAGATCAGCACGTTAAGCAGCAGCAGCAGCAACAGCAGCCGCCGCATCAGGGGTCAACAGCAGGAGCCGCACCACAGGCAGCTGCTGCGGCTGGAGCGGCGACAGGATTAATGAAGGCAATTCAGCAAGCCAAAGGCAACCTAAGGGCCCCTACGGTCATTGCTGAGGCCATCAGGGCCCTCAGGAGGCCTCAGGGCAAAGCCGTGAGCAATGGAGTTTTGCTCCTCGACGTTCTCGACAGCGTTGAATTGGTATGCAGCAAAAGCAGTAGGAAACAGCAGTGGAAGGAGCACGAACACAGAGCAATCAGTAGCAGTGACACCTTCTTCACCGCTGCAGCTGCACAACTATGACATGCTTTTAAGACGGCTTTATATGATCACGGTTTTCTGAGCTGCCGGATACAAAGATCAAGGTTTTTACGGTGTAAAGATGGAGCTGAATCTATCTGCTACAGGCCGAGGAGCTTGTGAGCCGCAAGGTTCCTCTGACCCGTGTCATTATCCTTGAGGCTCCTCAAGCGGTGCGGCTGCATAAACCACCTGTAGCAGCTGCTGGCTGTACACTACTAGCTAGCAATGCACAAATTTTTTAGTCACAGCTGGCAACCGCAAACCTGGGCCATTTTAATCGCTGACAATGGCGCTGCTTAGGTGCTTGAGGAGGTAGACGGACATATCGAGGGAGAGAACGATGACGAAGGAAGCGGAGAAGGAGAAGAGTCAAGGCTAGTTAAGGAGAAAAAGACAAGAGGCAAGCACTAGGGCCCTAAATTGATCATTGCACCCTAGCCTCTAAGTTCCAGAAACAATTAAGGAAGCAGTTTTTTAAGACCTGTGTAAGCAGTTCTCTTCTCAAGGGTGAAGGAAGCCATGAGGCCTCAAGACCTGGAATTTCGGACATCGACTCAAAACGCCCACAGTTTTCAGGGTCAGAAACATAATGTTCTTGGCTACTGTTGTTCATACTCAGATAAAATTGCTGAAGTCTACAAAGACCGATGTGTGCGCATAAACTTGAGTGCTGCTGCTGCTGCTGCCGCCCTCGAACCTTCCCTAGAGAGCAGCGGCGAAGGAGACGATGAAGACTCAAGCGTTGAAGCAGCAGCAGCAGCAGCAGCAGCAGCAGCAAAGGCAGCATCCGAAGCAGTAAAAGAGGTTGCTGCTGCCCTCATGAAGCCCCCCGCAATACTGCTTACGGATGGCTTTATACAGCAAGAAGCAGCAACAGCAGTCCGTCAGGCCCTGGCGCTTAGCCTCAGCTGCAGGCTTCATGTCCTTAACAACGAAGTCCTAGGTAAAGAGAAGCACTGGGTTCAAGTCCTTGAAGCCCAAACCTTAAGCACTTCGTGAAAGCCAAGCCCTAATCTTCATTGTGCACAGCCCAAAATTCAGCATCTGGGGACAAGCCAAGAACTGATTCCTAACGCACACATGCCACATTGCCCATCATATGTTCCAGTGCAATTAGTGGCAGCCGATACAACCTTCAGCTCCAACTTGTCGATAATCGAGAGATTAAAGTTATATTGCCAAACGGTACATAGCGCCAACCGCTTGAGTTAGTCGTGCGTGAGCTGCTTTGGATGCAGGGTTGGTGGGTCTCTTACTCTCACGGTCTGTCGCTCCTCTGAAGGGCTTTAACTCTAGGATTAAGTTTTGGCTCTGCGCAGCGAGTTTCCAACTATGAATAAAGGGCAAAAGAGCATCACTTGCTGGATCTTGAGGTTTTCGTAGTGGTATAGGGTCTAGACTGTAAGGCTAAGGGAACATAATTCGGGCTTCATAATCAAGCTTATGCTGGCTCTTTGGGCCCTTCTGCGGTGTTTTTACAGGGATCATCCTTGCCACTGCCAATCAGCGCCATTTCCCAGACCGGATCTCATCTTGTCCTTGCGGGTTTTCCTAACGCAGTAAATACTTGTGCCCTTCCGCGTATGCAGTATATCACTGCTGTAGCCATAAGCTTTTTGTCGCTCGCATCCATGGATTTGAGGCTCCCGGCTCGGCGCAATGGTTGTGCTCTCAGTCTCTTTCTAATGACCCAGCAGACCTCCATGCCCAGCTGTTGCGAGTTCGCGAACTGTGCGATATTAAAGGTAAAACCTGCCCAGAAAGAGAGACGTGCCAAGGCTTCCCTCAGGGGGCTCAGGTCTGGGTTTTCGGGTCTGCTGCGGAATCCCAGGGGTCTCGTAGTTAAGGGTCTTGAGGGCTCTGTGCTACGAATCCAAAGGCGCCTTTAAAATGACGACTACCGGGCGTGAAAGGCTTGAAATATATGATTTTGGGGTGAACAACTGAACTTAATTGCAGCGGCACTTGCTGCCGCTGTGGTTGGCATTGCTGCTGCTGTTCAGGCATTCTGATTGTAAAGCATCTGGCTGCACAGAACAGCAGGATATCTGTATGTGAATCCAAACGAATGATAAACGTTTTAAAAGCTGTGAACCCAGTCTCCTATCCGAGGGCTGTTTGGATTCTATGTTGTGACAGACACGCATGTAGCCCTACTGAAGTTAATTAGAACTACGGCAAGAATTTCCTCCGCTTACACTTTGTTTGTGTTTTAAATTGATTAATTTCTGCTCATATTTATTTTTGTAGGCACGTTCTGGCCCCTGGAATTCTCTGCCCGAAGTTGCCGCTGCAGCTGCCATTTGGAAAATCAAGACTGCGGAGCTTCAAGTAGAGGTAACCTTACTCTACAACCGTCCCTCATACAGCAGCAAGAGCAGCAAAATGATGAGCTAAGCCAGCACTAGCATCAGCGATAGAAACAACAACAATACCAAGCATCGGCGCCAGCAGTTGTTGCAGTGCCAGAAGTTGTTGCCTTTGTAATGGGACACTAGACCGAAGTCCCGAGGCAGTGCACACACCTTGCAGCTAAAAACACTGTGCCTGTCTCGTCTTGCTTGACCTATGTGCCTTAGGAGAATGCAACAGCCACCGAGTTGCTACCACAGATAGAGTTGCTTCTGCAAGAACTGCAGGAGCCACGAGAACTAAGTCCCCTAGAACAGCTGCAGCAGAATCCTCCACCCCCCGACTCCTCAGAGAGAGAAACAGAAGACGAAACAGACGATGAGGAAGAAACGTAATCAACCCAAGCTCGTGTAAATAGAAGAAAGCGTGCTCTTGCTTAGGAATGAATGCAGCAAGCAGCGGTGTGACCCATGGTAGAAGCCTCGATTGAGAGCTTGTAAGCTCTGATTCTGAGCCGCTTGTGCGTTACGCCTCAAGCCAAAATATGTACAAACACAGCAAAGCATCGAACGAGCTAGCCAGCGTACGGCTCCAAAAATACTAATGGATCTTTTGGAATGCCTTTTGAGGTGGCTTTTCTTTGTCGCATGTGGCGGTTCATGCATATTCATGAGCACTTGTATGATGAGATGCACCTCGCGTACGACACAGTGTGCAGCTCCTAAGGCTCAGCGTTTGATCAGGGCTTTCAGCCTGAAACTACTTCTCAACACATGAGATACATATACGCATATGCATGACGCTACAACTACACTAGTATAAATGTGCGTAGAGGCAATGCACAAAGACAGCATGAAACAGCCGGAAGGCTACTGTTTGCACCACTTTCACTACATGTACTATCCTCGTTGGCCGCAAGTGCAAGGAAAACATCACTGCCCTGTCTAGGCCCAGCACAGATTCGCGGGTAGATGGCTAGGCAGAGCGCACATGAATGCCCAGGCGGCTCGCTGCAGCTTCAAGATGCTTGCCTTCAGCCCTGCTGTTTGCTTATCTTCAGCCCTTTGAAGAGAGTAGGACATGGCTAAGTAGACGAAATTGTAGTTGATGAAAAACTAGTATAGCCCTTCAATGGAAGCAAGTTGATATAGAGACCTGATGTGAATGCCTAGCTCAGTAAATATGGGCATGTGCAAGCTTGAGCCTGATCAGGGTCATCTGACAGAGCAGCTATCAATGTAGCGAAATTGCCTGACGATCATGTTATAATGCCTGCAGTGCGCGAAGGGTTTGCCATTCATGTGGCTACGCTAGGCAGACATAAATGTGCATACAAAAATCACAATCCCACAGCATCGTTGCAAGTTACTTAGTTGTACGTCTACTTGACGTATAGACAAGCATTAGTTAAGTACATTGTCAATGAGCATGCATGGACAGGCAAATGAACTCCAAGATATTGTGGTCAGACCATCACCATGTTGCGGATCTGTTTATACTTTGATTTACTTTGAATTTATCTCTACATAGTTTAATGAATTTCTTCCACTAGCTTGCGTTAAATGGATGTTTCAAAAAACACTCGCCGAGAGGGACTCCACGGGACTGGGGGGCCCCGAGCTGCGTCTCAAGGTCGCAAAATAACGTGGGGAGTGCTAAGCCGACAACAAAATACTGAAGCATTGAATATCTACGCTCTTAATGCTATTTTGAAACAACCGACCAGTATGTTTTAACTCGCTCCGATTTTGTAGTGAATAAACACGCAATGGGTACGGCTAGCCCGACGGCGGCGGTGTGCCTCCTGCATGCATGATTATCTGCCGTGCAGTGTTCCCTTACAAAACATTAATATATAATATTGGGGTGATATCTTTTTAGATATAACAGTTGACTATCTGGGGAAACCAAAGACAAGTGGTCGGCTTAGCATCGACAACTGTGGATCAACGACAGGGGAAGTGCTTCTGGGATGCAGCGACAGCTGCAACGACAGGGCAAGAACACAACTAAAGAGGCAGTGCCGGCTGCCACAACAGCCTGAATGCAGCAGCAAAGAGCCTGTCGTTGCTGCTGAGGGATCAACCACAACTGCAAAGCCAACAAAGCAGCAGCAAAGCCAAGATGGAGAAATACCGAACTTTCGCAGATGAGCAGACTGGCTGTCAGCCCTTTGTGCCAACGTATTACATGAGGCAGCAGCTTCGGGGCCCCCTATGCGGCTCCCGTGTTTTATCTTTTGTGGTTTACTGCTGCAACTGGGCTCTGTATCCGCTGCTGCTCATTCTGGCAGTCTTACGGCTGTTTCTGCTGAGCTTCGCACTGCTGCTGGCTTTGTTGCTGCTACTACTAATTCTGCCACTGCAGCGGCTTCCCCGTCTTTACTGGAGATCCAAGCGGTTGCTGCTGCACTTGCCCGTGCGCCTGGCTTTACTTGCATTTGGTTTCCACTTTATACAAGAAGAAAGAGCAGGTACATTGCTTGTCCACTCTTCCTGTTTGTAGTTTTATTAAAGTCTTTATATATGTCCACTGTTGGCCATTTTGTTCCCCTCAGTTTTCTTTTCTACGTCTAACAGAAAGCGGTAACTCGCATCCGCAGTGGACTAGTGGCGTACAAACCCCTCATGTAGTGCACGAAGCGCACAATTGCCACAGCTACTTAACGCACATCTCATTTTTTGTCTCTCAGATTATCGCCGATTGCAAATCCGCCCTCCATCAGTCAAGCCAAGGTCTATATTTGCTTCCTTCCTGTCTCTCTGCATAAACTCCTCAACGAGCAATGAGAAATCCGATCCCCAAGGGTTTCCTACGGATTTCCGTGGAGACCCCCTTGGGGGTCCCCATGGGGCACTCATGGGCTACTCTAGAGTTCCGTCCAGGGCTTGCCTTTGCCTGTCGACCTTCACTTGTTTTGTTGAAGTACTGTATTTGCAAATGCGGCTTTGCCCTCTTTTTTTGGGACTGCATGCTGATGGTTCGTTGTCCGTCTTGTCTGTTTGGAGTGCTATTCGGTACTCCTTTTCCTTTGAGGTGAGTACGCGCTGTCATTGCTGCCACTGCTGTTTCTTCGTGTCCGGGCTGCTGCTGCTGCTTCTTGTTCGCTGCTGTCAGGTGTGTGGATGGATTGGCGCTACTGCAGCGCGCGGGGTATCTACTGCTGCTGCAGCGGCTGCAGAGGATGGTGAAGTGCCGTCCTTGTTGCAACAGCAAGAACAACTGCTGCTGATTCAGTTGCTGCTGCGATCGCTGTATTTGATGCATGTTCCCTTTTGCTGCAGCTTCTGCCTGGTCGCGGTCAGTACCCATCACTGTCTGCCCTTCTAATGTCCCTTGAGGGCAGCAGCGGCAAAAGCAACGATGGCAACAGATTCATTCCCCCTCTTGCGATGTTTCCAGAGGGCCAGAAGAGCAATGGCAGCTGTTTGTTGCAGTGGGACGCCAAGGGTCTGGATGCTGCAGCCATCAGCAGGCTCAAGGGGAGGGTGGCGCTTCTGGGGTGTACTTACACTCGAGATACAAGCAACAAGCAAGCATCAGCTACAGCCCCAAATAGTTGGAGAGGGCCCGCCTACACTGCTCCACACACAGTAATTCATTCACTATTCTTGTCGCTGCTGTGGCTACTGCTTCGTCCGTAAAGACCCGCGGCTGTTGTGGCGTTGATGCAGCCCCTTCCATTTTTGCTTCAGTTGCTGTTTTCCTACGCAACCGCCGGTATCGCCGTTGCAGTTGCGCTTGCCGCGGTCGCTCCTGGTGCTGCTGCAAGTGTCCCGCTGCTGGACTGTGTTGTTGCAGCTATGCTGTGGCCCTACTTTCAGCTGCTTGAATGCATGAGCACTTAGAGCCTAGGTTTTGCTAGCTACGATGTATGGTCTAAGGCTTGTGCCTTGCGTTGCCAGGTCAACAGCCCTCTGCGCCATATGCTGCTGCTGCTGCTGGAGCCCAGCCAGCACCTGCGATGCATATGGGTGTCTCCTGAGGATGTATTGACGTCTGTTCAGCAACAACAGACCCAACAGCAGCAGGGGCTATTCCAGCAGCCATCTCCACAGCAGCAACAGCAGCAGCAGCAAGCCTACTTGGGTTTTCTCCGCAACATTATGCTGCGTGCTGTCCCGGGCCTAGTGTCTGTCAACAGGTGCGGCAGAGATCTGAAATCCTTCACTGATTACTGGCGCCGCCAGCAGCAGCAGCAGTGGAAAGGCGGTGCGAAGAAAGTGTAGATACCGTGCTGCTGCTTGCATCTCAGCGACCATCGGCACCACTAGCAGCAAATATAGCACTGGGTGGAACGGCAGGTAGTGGACCCGGGCTTGAACAGTCCAAAGTAAAACACAAAGAGGAATGTCCTGGTTGATAGCAGGTGCTCATGGGACTGCCATCGCAGTACACTGCAGCAGCAAACTGCCGCAGTAAACAGCTGGAGCAAGCTGCTGCAGCAGACTGCAGCAGAAGCTGCCGGCCTTGTGACCGCCGCCTTGTGGTATCAACCTTAAACTAGGTCTATCTGGGAGCCATTCTTCATCTGTTTTCATTATCAAAATCGTTGCATGTTTGATTTGCCGCGTGTCCGTTTGACTTGCGGAAGCGAAGAACACAAGCAAGCGCACACAAATCAGGGATACGGACACAGCGCCACTTGCCACTGACCACCCAGCCGCGCACCAAAAACATAAATGAGTTGCAAAACGTCGGCCCAAAGCCTTAACACTTAAGCAGCGGGAAGTTAGTCCGCTTTCTTTGCTGTCCCGGAGCAGGCTTCAAACGCTGCCTTGAGCTTGTCATAAGTCTCTGTAGCACAGCCGTACGCAAAGCCTCAAGCACTGATAAGCCAAGCAACCCCCGAAGCTCGCCAGAGGGAAGTCTGCGGGAGCACGACTTGGAGTTCACTCGATATGCGAAGGCGACTAGCCCGTTGCGCCATTGCTGCCTAGACCACGGATGACTTACCCCTAGACACAACAGCTCCTTGCTTGTAGATGGTCTCCTTAAAGTGGACCTGATTTCTGTTTTGCAGCTGGGTCCTATAGGGCTCCTTGATGCACCTATTCAGCCACAAGACCCAAGAAGATGACCAAAAAACCCGAGATGTCAAACACTTATACAGTAGAGTCCGCAAAACTCTCCTTGAAAGCATCGAGGCAAAAGTGAAGAAAGCATCTAAATGGCTGCAGACTCCGCGGGGTTTTCACAGGGTAGCTACTGCGGCAGCAGTAACAACTCCAGCTGCTGCTCCTCGCCCTGTGGCTACCCAGCTTTCCTCATAAAGTTCTGACTGTGCTACCTGCCCCTGCATCTCGGGACGAGACGCCACAGATGCCTTATGGCGCTCTCTCGCCCCCGTTGCCGTCATGGGCCTCGACTCGCCCTTTTGTGTCCGTAATGAGCGTGGGGCATCCCCATGATTCCTAAATTTGTATGTACCCTTGTGAGTAGATGTGTGGGGCCTCACTTCCTGAGTAGGTCTGCCATCTCGGCAGCGTACCGGACGTAGGTGATACCGCAGGTCTTCCAAATCATCGTGGACGCCTACTGAGTAACTAAGCGTACAGATTTGTCAACATGCAAAGCCTAGCAAGCAAATTGGAGAAATATTGAAAATTATATCATCCAGAGCCGCATACTACACAGCTGGAGAGGCCCAAAGGGCTGTGGTCATGCAAGGAGGTCAGGCAGCTGCATGCAGAGCAGCAGCTGAGCTCTGGCTCTCTACACTGGGGCATTATTTCTTTTTACGATAAATAGATTTTTTATAGCTATTTGCAGCCGAGGGACTAATACTATAGCTGCAAGAGGACCAGGACGTCTCGTCGGAGCTCTCTGGGGGCCCTTTGACCTGAACGCATCGAAGCCACAGTCATACCTGTGCCTCAACCACTGCAGCGTTTGGTAACTCGCCCGTAATTTAAGCTTTTCTTTCGACTGGAATATAGTGAAGCAGCGGCAGAAACCGAAGCCGCAAGAACAACAACATAAGTAGCTGCAGCGGCAACTTAAAACTGCAGCAGGCGGGCACCTGCTCCCGAAGTGCCACTTTGGCAGTTGCACTTCGTGTCCTCTTGTCTCGAGGACAGCATACAGTGGCAGTTTTTGCCACAGTTGGATGCGGCTACTCCGTGTGCTCGAGTTTGATGGTCCTGATTTGCAGCTGCACCGGCAACAGCAGCACTCTCAGGAGTACCAGGGGGAAACATGGCGGACCGTCGCGGTGGACGTAGAGGAGTAAGGGCCCCAATTCTTTAGGCTTCATGGTTCTTGTAGCCGTCAGTGCCGTCACTTTACGTTACAGCTGCTGTGCGGCTACGTCTGCGCTGCTGCTCAGGGTGCAGCGGAACCGGAGACGGCTCGTGTCTACCAGGAATTCCTGAAGACATTTCAGCCAGAGGACCCTTCAGCTGACAAAGCGTTTGTCAGAGGTGAAGTAAACTCCCAAAGTGTAGGGCTTCGCTGCTACTGTCTAGGTTAGAAGGTAGAAGGTCTAGGGTATAGGGTTTTACGCCCGTTCCTTTGCGTGCGTTCAGGGGGAGTGATAAACGCTGGATCGGGCCAAGTTGCTATTGACAGTAAAAAGGTAGGGCTTTTTGCTCACAGCTCACGGTTAAGGAATCGATGTGTTAGACTTTAAGACACGCGCAAAGCTTTAGGGGACCCTTTTTGGTTAAGGGTTCGTAAGCCAAGGCGACGTTGGGCTCCATGAAGTGGCCTGTGTGCTTTTGGGAGAATTATTCGGGTTTAGGTCCCTACTTTGCAGGCACAATCCCCTGGTTCTTCGGGTGCTCCCTGCAAGGGCCTTCTTGTGCTTCAACCTATTAAGCAGCCGCTGGAGCCCTGTAAAGTTCCTTGCGGCGGATTTAATTCGCTCTGGGGTGGATTTTTGTTGCTAATTTCGCTTGTCCTTTAAATCAGGGGTCACTGTGGGTGCCAAGCAATGCTCCCAAGTCAGCCGAGGCAGCAGCCGCTGCCGCAGCCGCTGCTGCAGCAGCTGCGGCTGCAGCGAATAGCAGCAGTAGCAACACGCAGTCCCCAGCCCCCAAACGCATGCCAGGCCGCCCTGGACAGAAGAGGGAAATTGATTCTTTCCTTGAAGGTTAGAGCTTAGTTTTAGGGCGCAATATTTTGCGGCTCGAGCTTAGATGCGTTTATTGTAGAGAGCTTACAGCTGAAGCGCTTTTATTTTCAGCTTCTTGATTGGTTTCGACAATCGAAGATCTTCTATGACTCATGACCCCATGGTCGTTTCATGAACGTACGGTTTGCCACTGAGTGTATCACAGAGATCAAGAAGCGCCAGGAACTTCAAGGTCAAAAACGGAGACTTTACGAAAGGCTGAATCTTTCGCGCACAGGTGATTTGCAGCTCTTGCTGGCGGTATTTCGACGTGTGTGGCTGCTGCTGTTGCAGTTGTTGGGTCTAGCTCACGTTGGCGCTTCTCCTGTTGGTGCAGGCACTGGTGTTGCAGTGCTGCTGCTAATGCTGTTGTTTGGCTGTCTGCAGAGGAGGAGCGATGCGCCCTCCGTTTCCAGATAGCCGCCCTAGAGGTGAGCCGCAGTTTGTGGTCAAGGCTGGGGAAGCCTAGCTCGCTGCTCACTCGCTGTTTTGGCGTTTTACGTTGCTTGACGTAGTTTCGAGGTTGTTGGATAGATCATCAAGGGCGGGAGGTCTGGTCCGTAGTACTGAGGTCTAGAGAGGTCTAGTCCGTAGTATTGAGGTCTAGTCGGTAGTATTAATCGTTTCGGGTTTGGGATCTGTCTTTCGTCACCGCAGAATGCAACGAGGCCCCGTGGTGCCCCTCCGATAGACTTGGAGAAAGAGAGCTCAACCAATTTATATCTTGGCAACCTTTCCCCCGAGGTGCGTATACACTGCATGCATGCTACTTGGAGCTTCGAGTGACGGGGAGCGAATGTGGCTTTCATTCATTGAAAGGGAAGCTAAGCACTCGTTTATGCAGCTGCAGGTGTAGCTGCGTGCAGCACGTCTGTGCTGCTGGAAGACTGGGGCTGTTTTTCGACATGTATGCGTGGATGTGTGCATCTGTGCATTTAGTCCATATATGCAAGCGTGCAAGTAGTGCAGGTAAGGCTATTTTTGTATAGCTATTTGTAGATAAGCTGTATATATTCGCATGCATGAGTGCAGATAACGGAAGAGTTTCTGTGCCAACAGTTTGGCAAGCACGGCGTGATTACGAGCGTGAAAATAATGTACCCAAGAACAGAAGAAGAGAAGCGAAGGAACAGAAATTGTGGATTCGTCTCCTTTGAGACTAGACCACAAGCGGGTAAGCTCTAATCCTCAAGTCCAAGCTTGTGAATTTGCATCGCAGACCGTGAGCCCTAACGAACAAGCCTTCAGCCGTAGTTTGCAAATTCTAGGGCTCACACTGCAGATAGTATTCCTGGAAGGCCAGGCTTCGAATGCTTACAGGCTTCAATTCTCGCGAACAGGAAGGTACCACCGCTCTCAGCAGTTCGTCAGCAGTTCCTCAGCGGTTCCTTTTTGTGTTGTCGCAGAGTCTGCCAAAAACAGCCTTGACGGCAAGTCTTTCTATGGAATGGTCATTCGCATTGGGTGAGGGATCGAACTCCAGGTTTTGGGGTTCAGGTTATGGCTTTCAGCGTATGAGCAGGCGTGCGATATTTATTCTAGTGGATCAGGGGTTTACGGTACAAGGTTTGGGATGTGGGCGCTGACTCTGCAGATGGGGAAAAGCTCTTCGGCCATCATTTGGCGCCACTCCTACTGGACTTAGTGGAGGCTTTTGTGGGTTGCAACGTTTAGGTTTCCAGCTTTGGCGACTTCAGAGGTGTTGGCTTAAAGTGCTCATTTTGTAGGCTTAGCGGTCTGTAACATTGCATTTAGGCAGAAGCACAAACAAGGTGGTGGCTATATAAAATGTCTAAAGCTTAGTTCTGTGGCGTGCATACACCTGCCTCAGCGGACTCTCCTTTCCCTTCCAGTGGTTTCTCCCCGCCTCCACCTTCGGCATTTAGCGCAGAAGTCCCAACTGCAACTCCAACCCCTCCTCCTCCTCCTGTGAGTTTTGAAGCCTCAAGCACAGAAACCTCATTCGCATGTTCATAATTTGCATGTGTGCATGCAAGCATGCGCATATGGCCAAGACGCGTATGCATGGTCGCGGATATTTCGCTTTTTTCACTTATCAGTTTTGCCGTACAATCAATGGATCAGGGTTTAGTGGTGGGTGGACGTTTTTGGCACAGGAGGCGGAGTTAGTGGAAGTGCAGGTTCCTAAGGACAGAAAGGTGAAGATGGTGATAGATCTCCTCGCTAAATATGTTGCAGAGGTGGGATTTCTGCCGATGTGGCTGTTGCTGCTGGACTGCCTGAGTTTTGCGTCTAGTGTAGACCCTGTAGCTGTTCTGTAGGTGCTGCTTTGTGACTTGGTTGTGCTGATGAGATGCTACAGGAGGGACATGTTTTCGAGCAGCAAGTTATGGAAAAATTTCCTCCAGAAAGCGGTAGGCTTTACAGTTCCCGATAGACGGCTTCGCGTATAGAATTCGGAGTTGCATTTTGATCTCATGGGCTGCCTGAAGCAAATTGAAGGAGGCTTTGATAAAGATTGTTGCTGGGGGTCTGCACTATGATTAGAATTATGGCGGCTTTCGAGGTCAGGGCTGCGAGCAAGGGTTCAAGGAATATATTTGGTTGGCAGTGTTCGGTTTCTCGCATGCAGGTCGCCTGAACTTCATTTACGAGAAAGATTCACCGGACAACATATACTACAGGTGAGCATTCTTCGCATAGCTATACAGCAGAGTCATTCGCAATATTCCTGCACTAGTCACTGCATGCCTGCATGCCTGCATAAAACTTCTGGTTTGACAAGTGTCTCTTGGCTGAGATGTTTATATGCACAATTTCCGTCCTTTAAATGCATATAGTTTGGACGGTAGGGCAGCTTTCGATGCTGGTCTTCATCAATCCCACGGCTGCTTTTTTTAATTCAGTTTTCTGCGTGCTTTTACTGTTTATATCGTCGTTCGATGCCCTTCTCCTGCCTGCCTATCTCTTTTCCTGTCTCTGCATACGTGTCTCTTCTGTCCTGTCTAACCTCTGCGTGCGTTCCACGTATTTTTGTCCTTATCTGTCTGTTCCTAGGTGGCGCGTGTATGCGTTTGGCCAAGGTGACACGCTGCGTGCGTGGCGCGTAGAGCCTTTCTTCATTTACTCAGGAGGAAGGCGATGGGCAGCACCACCGGAGAAATACTTTCAGCAACCGTAAGCAGTGAACTGACTGCTTTTGCCAATGTCATTCCTCGCTCTGCTGCTGCTTTAGGGGGAAATACAGGACGAGGTGGTCCGCAGAAGCATTTCCGGCTGCTGTAACTGCTGGTGCTGTAGTGGAGGCGTCGACGCGTGTCTTGAGAGTGTTTTAACGTCTGTGTCCTTTGCCATTTATCTTTGTGGCTCAGAGCGAAGAAAAAAGCAGAAGCAGCAGAGGAACGCAGCATGTGAGCGGCTTCTGTCGCTGCTGCTTTGGGTGTTGTTGTTGTCCGCTTTGATGTTGTTGTTTATGCTGGTGCGGCTGCGCTTGTTTCTTCATCGTTTCTCATCAGTGGCATTCGGATGGTGTTTCGTTGCATGCTGTGAACAGCCGAATAGCAGCTCGCGGTGGCGAGCGGCTGAGCGCAGCGGACCGCGAGGAGCTTGAGGAGCTATTGCGTAACATCACGAGGGACAGGTGAGGTTGATTGATGGGTTTTATTTTGCTCCATTTTGCTTGTCTCATAAAGCCACGTTAGAGCTAGCAGCACGGGCTACTTGCTTCTTGGAGCCGCAGCTGCTTTGCCGCTTCTCGGACTTGCCTTTTCTCTCGCTGCGCCTACTCTCTTGTGCTGGTGACCCTTTTTGCTGGTGCAGCACGTGTTTCTGCTGGCTCATGTATCGTTTCTGTTTAATACAGTACAAAACTGTTGTAACGTGGAGTCTTTTTTGGCATCTAGCTGTTGTGCCCGTCGTCTTGTGCGTTTGTGTTTGTAGGGCTTCCATCTGCGCAGCTATGTCCTTCTGTATGTCTCATGGGAGCAGCAGCGCAGAAGTGTGCAGTTGCCTGACCGAATCGCTGACTCTACCGGACACGGCGCTGACAATGAGGCTAGCGCGAACTTACCTCTTGTCGGATTTGCTCGCCAACTCAAGTGCTCAGACAGCTCATGCCTGGACCTACAGATACCACTTAGAGAAGAATCTACCTCTTATTGCAGATCGATGGAGTAAAGGTACGTATGCCCTCCACAAGCTGCTGCCCGTACCGCTGCACTAGCCGTGACGAGTGCTTCCACAGCAGCGCAACTTGTTTCCCTAGTCTCACGAGCGAATGCCCCTCTGCTACTGGGCACCCACTTGTTCGAGGAAGTAAGTTTCATTGCGGTGGAAGCACTTGCCACTGCTAAAGCGAAAGGGAATTTGCTGTAGATGCAACTCGATGCCTATCTCTGCGGTGTACACGCGCATATTCCCACTGTAGGAGCAGTAAAGACATTTTGTAACTTTGTTTCTCGCTGCTTCTGTTGCTGCAGTTCTAGAAGACCTACGATTGGGAGTCGGTGTCGGAGGAGGCAGCCCAAGGACACAGCAGGAGCAATGGCAGGGGGTAGAGCGGGCCCTCTACAAAATGACAAAACTGTGGGAGGCTTGGGGTGTGTATCCACCTACGTTTCTTAGGGTGAGCCGACTTGCACGCTCTCTTTGTTTTTGATGCTGGCTGGCTGCAGCTGCTAAAGCCTTGTGCTGTTGCTGCCACAGTAGTTTCTCTCCTGTTGCCTCTGACGCTGTTATGTGCCGCAGGGTATTGAGGCCACACTCTGCGGTCGCGACATAACAGCAACACTGCTGGATCCTGACGCAGCAGCAGCAGCAGCGGCAAAGTGCGAAGCTGCCGCAGCGGAGCTCGCAGATCCTCAGCTAGACGGAGAGCCACTTGCGGAAAATCTCAGGCCTCTCATCGCACAGTTTCCTCTGTGGCTGCGGCCCGCTGCAATGGTAAGGAGCAGATACTGGTGCTGCTGCTCGTAAGGATCCTGGCGGGCCATATTCTGCAGATGGAGCTGCTGTGGCATACAGTAGCAGAGCTCCTTGTGTAGGACTACATATGACGTGCTTTAGTGGTAGAGGTGGCCTATTTCGAGAGGAGCGCATGGGTTGGCCCAATTTCACTTAATTTTTCCCAGCTTTTTCCTGCGCGTGCTTGCAGGAATGGCTGCTGCTTGACCGTTATCAGCTGGACAGGCTCTGCCAGCAGCGGGGCCTCGGAGTTGTGCCTTCCCGCAGCAGTAATAGTAGTAGCAGCGAAAGACGACAAAAGCAGCTCGTGCAACTAGCGCGGCAGGAGCTATATTGGAGATTAAAGCAGGAGGTAAAATTGTTGCAGCTGAAGACTTGCGTTGTTCCTGTTGCCACCATTACTGCTGTCACTGCTGCTGCCGTTCCTGCTTGCTAATCTGCATTCACATAGAAAGGTCAGTGGCTATTGTGTTTATTCTCCGCCTATATTGTTATCCGGCAGGCAGCGGAGGTGCCGCTTGACGTGTTGCTGGAGGCTCAGGCTGCTGCAGCAGCAGAGCGTCAAGCGGCAGCTGCTGCAGCCGCAGCAATGGCTGCACCTCAGGGCGCACTGACCACTGCTGCAGCACCGGAGGTGTCCACAAATGCAACAGAGGGTTGCGCGAAGCAGCCTGGGGATGAAAACCAGCAGCAAGATGACGTGGCCAGCGAGGCCTCAGATATCTTTGTATTTGAAAGGGAGGAAGAGGAGCAGGCACAGGAGCAGCAAGATGAAGAGGAAGGCGCAGCAACAGTATCAGCAGCATCAGCAGCAACGGCAGAGTCTCAAGAGGCTCGCGAGTCTGATAGAGAACGCATGCGTGCCATAGAGCTGAAGGTAACGGAGCTCCAGGTGCAGCTTGAAGACCAAAGTGAGGCCGTCCGCTTTGTAGCCAAGCAAAGTAGCTAGTTGTGCTGCTGTGCAGTTACCTAGTGAACGTTCTATGAGGCTGGCTACGCGATGCTCTGCGCAGTCTCGCCTGTCCATGTCTCCAAATGCACCTGACAAATATGGGAGCTACTAAGCTGTGACGTACAGCTGTTGCCGCAATTAGTTTCAACAGCAGTTGTGTGTTCTCGGCAGTATGTAGGGTGTACTTGTCGCTCTTTCGTGGGTTTCACGCCTTTGTAGGCCTTCCGAAGGATGAAATCGCAAGCCGCTGTGACGCTCTCAGGCAGACCCTCCTCGAGGTATGTGCATCCATTAATTGCATTGCTCTGTATGGTCTGCGGCCGAGGGTGACGTTGATATGATGGGAGGAACTAGCACAGTGTTGCTGCTGGCTGGCTTGTGCCCTAGGAGCACCGAGCAACGAAGGAGGCGGCAAAGAGGAAATCGACAAATAATCGCGACCGCAGCAGATCTCCGCACGGCAGCCGCAAAAAAGCGTATGTCGGCCCTGGCTCATTTCGCTCGACATTGATTTGCTCTGTGTCTTTGAATTTAATGTCTGGGCACGGTCCGAACTACAACACCTAAGGTGCCTGGGCTTCAATTCAAGCACATTAACGAGTGTTTGCAACCTCCGTTGTTACATATGCTGCATTGCTTTGCAGTGTTTATGGTAGAAGTTCACAAACAGCAGCGCGGGAGCAGTGACAGCTAGTGTTGCGTCCTCAGATCCAACTGTATGAGCTAACAACTGCTCATTTATGGTGGGATGTTACCTCGAACATTAATTGATGTTTGCAGGAAAGGCATCAGCGTCGAGAACTCAAAGGCATAGGAACAACGCGTGTGTAGCAGAGCTGGCGACGTTCAGTTATGCCGGCACCTCGTTCGGTTGCCGGTGCACAGCCGGCTTTTCCTCCTGGCAAAAGCTGAGCTGCAGCACAGGTTTTACAACTTGCGCGTGCTTTCGGTTGCCTTGTATCTTTTTGGGTTCTTAAAAGGCTGCACGACGCTCCCGGCGCTGCATACCACCCTCTTTTTCCTTCTATTCTTTTGCATTTGTTTGCCTTGCTATGGCCGCCAGTCTTCTGTACGGCGCACAGAAAAGCACGTATCGACTGTCTTGGTGGCACGGAGGTGCATTTGCATTCCGCACATGGAATCGGTAAACCAAGAACCACAGATTGTCGTTGGGTATCTCATGCACTGGGATAACGGTGCTCAACACCGCAGTTCATATAGTAGCGAGAAAAGAATGTATTTGCAGCACAGACAATAGATAACGCAGTTGTGGGTGTTGCTGACATTGACCTGGAGAGCACGCTACAACGAAAATAAGAAGGTCAAGCGCTGCGCTGCCTCAGTTGAGCGTAGCTTCCCTTTTTCCCACACTTCGCACCGAAGAAGGTGCAACGGCTTTAAATGCAAGCTCTATCGTGCATCTGACTAGTCATTATTAAAAGCGATCACTGCTCCATGGAAGAAGGGGCTATCCAGAGAAATATTTGGCCTTAATTGTTGCATATGGGACGTACAGCAGCTGTCAGTAATGCAGAAGAAACCGTGCATGCAGTGGAACAGCCAAACTATGGAATCGCAGAATGCACACGACCCAAGTTCTTCAATGTGACGACGCCGGACTCGGCAAGTCGTCTGAGCAGTGCAACATAATAAATGGAGAAGGTTTTTCTCCATCACTTTGAAACTCTGGTTTGTCCTCGCCTCTGACAGCAGCGAAGTCGCTCAAAGTAGTGCTGGCCTGCAGCAGCTGGACAAAGCAGAAAGAGGAAGAAACGAACTGGTAATGCAGGTAGTGCACTAAGCGTGCGCCAATGCAAAACGCGCACTTAAGCTACGCGCACGTAAGCTTCTCTTGAGCGCTTTGAAATCATGATACGAATGCAAACTGGCCGCGGAGTATTCTAACATCTAGCCCGTGCCTTGGGTTCCTTATCAGTGACATACGGAGAGCCTACAGCACGTCAGTTCTCTCGATATACTTTGTAGAAAAAGCCGCAGCCTGGCTGTTTTTGGGGACAAGAATGCATGTAATGCCATACTTGTCTTCACAGGAGACGGCAAGTGAAGCAACATTTTTCAGTTACTCGTCCCCGACGCCTGCAGTCGAGACCGTGGTATCTTGTGTCTCGGGCGCTACTAGGCTGGGAGGAGGGTGGCGTAAGCATCTGCAGTTTCCTGCAGCTGCTCAAGAGCACCCCAGAGCTCGTGAGACTCCACGCCGAACTGCTCGTAATGATGCACAAAGGCGCCAGCTTGCAGCATATCGAGGCCAAGCTGCACCGTGCTGCAGCAGCAGCGGCAAAAAGGCGAATGCATACCATAGCTGCCAGATGCAAGCAGACCCTCCAACATCTGCGGGACTGATATTGTGTGTTGAACGTGTGTTATCTCACCGTCGCAGAGCAGGCAGTGGCGTGCGACAATTCGTAGTGAGAGCCAAGCTGCAAGGCTCTCCGAAAGCCGCGAATGAGTCAGCAGAGATCTGCACAAAGGCAAAAGATGATACTGGTTTCACTGTGCAGTAGCGTGCGGAAAGGCATGCCTGCCAGGCGATTGATAGACTGTGCACTCGACAAACGCGAATTCTACACGGCCTTCAGTATTAGCCAACAATTAGGCCTGTAAAAGTACAAGCATCAAGGATTTGCTGCATACCTGCGGGGGACTGGCAGCGCATCGCCACAATCCAATGCTGCAATTGGCCATTGGATCACTCTGTAAGGCCCTGACAGCCGGCCCTCGCATGCACAGTTGTGCGGCTACTGCAGCGTTTGGCTGCATGCCGTGCGATATCTCTGCCAGTTTAGGGCTGCTTTTTTCCCGCTGCTGCACTTCTGCATATTGCCTTTGTCTATGACTGGAGGGTGTTGCGGGGCTGGGAGGTGAATGCAGGTCAAGTGTATCCGCCCTAGCAAACATCCGCTCTAGTCGGCGAAGCAAAGAAGGGTAAGTGTATGGCGAAAGCCGTTGGCTGTTTTCAAGAGGAGCAAGCCCCTGTGGAAGGTACCGGCAGGTGAGAAGCTTGAAGGCTCGGTGAGTGACTACGTTACTCACAAGGCCGCGCAGGGTGCAAGTAGCAGCAGAACCTGCTGCCTCATCCCACAGCGGCCTTAAGGCACTTGGGTTGCTGTCCTGGCAAGGTGCACGTGCCCAGCGTGATCGTGCAGTAGGGCGGGTTGGGTATACTCGACGGGGTTGCATTGGCATCCAAGGGGAGCTGGGAAGCAGGCAACAGCCAAGTAGGTCACGGGCGATGCAGCAGTTGATCTCAGTCATGCCAGCTCCTGTAGGTGTAGCCCTGGACCCTCGCTCCCGCTGTAAGATCTTTGCGTAACGGGCATTGTCAAAAATAAATATGCCATCACTGAGCTCAACATACGCCGCAGAGATTGATGCCCATCAGCAAGGCAGCGGCAGGGTTCAGGACAAACCCGGTGAGGATGGAAATGAAAGAGAAGGGATGCTGCCTCCTAATGCTATTAATTTTTAGTAGCCTTCGTCACATATCGATTCAATATTTGAGAAACGCAAACACCGAGTCAGTGAGAAATAGAAAAACTTCTGCTTTGCCAACTTTATTGTAGACGAACTGCAAAGAAGCCTAATGGCATATTTCCTAAGTAACGCGCACTGTGATTCATCGTGGAACTGCTATAATATGCAACCACAGCCAAGCACCTAGAGCTTTGAAGAGATGCCAAAGAGAGGACAGTGTTGAAGGCCTGCGTAGAGACTTCTGAGTCGAATGGCCAAACGCAGCAGCTGGCGATGGTTCTCTCCGGAAGTAAATCCGAGCACAATTCAGTCAAAAAAGACCCAACTCCGGAGCCAGTGCCGCCTAAGTCCCACCACAGGGAAAGCGTTGGAATTCCCACCAGGACACAGCCAGAATCAAAGCGCCAGTAACTGCCAGTAACTGCGACTTTCCGTGGTAAGACTGATATGAGCGAAAACAGCGGTCAGAACTCTTATTATAACAGAATCTGGTGCTAAACCGAGTGCTGAAGCCTAAGCAGCTCACCTGCCAAAGACTGAAGCACCAAAATGGAGCTCACAGCGTCTGCCTCTTCTGCAAGGCTCAGAAGCAGGCGCTCCAGGGTGTCCCTGTGGTTGGGGCCCTGCACATGATGGCCAAGCGCCCAATTATTGCCGCAACCTCCCTGCTGCCAAAAAGCGAATTTTGGATCCCAGCACCACCCCGCATTTGCTTCGCTTGCGCTGAAGTTACTGGTGCCCACTTGCCTGCGATGTGGTGGCGGCATCTGCCGCAGGAGACAGTTCTGGACGGTCTTTGCCTCCATATCGATTAGGAGGCAACGCGGTTTCAGACTAACTCCACGCATACTGGGAGAAGGGCTGCTGAAGAAACGATTTGTCAACGAATGAACCGTTCGGTTGTCGTCCAGGCTGGCGGCGCGTTGTAGTTCGTCATAGAGAGATGTAAATAGCTCACTACCCAAGTAGTTGCCACAGCCCCCTACCATCAATACAATAGTGCTCATCTTTCCACAAAAGTGGGATCAATTCTAAGGCCACAAACAGTGAATTTCGGCTGCTTCACAGTCCAGTCGTGCTGTGTGGCTGCTCCGAGGTGGCGAACCAACGGCGAACACAGCTGGATGGCGCTTACATGCACATCATGAGAAGAATCGAGTTAAAATATAATGTTTCACCCAAATCGCATTTCCTGCCTTAATATGCTTCTGCTCCGGCGGCCTTTACAGCTTCGACCCCAGAGGACCCACGAGGTATTGACAAACCTCGTTGGTCAGTTCTCAGGCGTTGCCTGCGTTATGCTTCTCTCACTGATGTCGTCCTGTTGTTCAGGAGAACACTACAAAATGCACCTCAGGTTGTGAAGAGCTTCCATGTCGTGCATTCGAAAAGCAGTGATGGCGTGCGAGGAGAGAGGTGACCAGTGGAGGGTTGGTTGCAGAGCGCGTGATGAGCCCTCGGCTTGCATGCAACCAAAAGGGGGAAAGAAAATGTCTTTTAATCTAATATTTCACCAAATAGTATTTTATTAATCTGGGACTGCGAGAAGGTGAGCAAGAGGGCTTCGTTCCCCTCGCGCACAAGAAGGAGGTGCACCTACTCCACCAAGGCCTCCGTTTCGCTGCAGCCATGGCGTTCTCTCGTCCTCCTTTTTGCTTCAGCCAGACTATAAGCGTAGGACTCAAAGTTGCTATTTCACCGCGTGTTGTTGCGATCTTTTCCGCAGTCAGATGTATGCAGCTTGTCCTGATTGCGAGTGACCTTTAGTCCTGCCGGGATTTCTTCGGAGGAGGGCGCAACAAAAGTGTGTTTTTTCTCATCAACACTTCACGGATGCAAGAGGAAAAAAAGTAACAGGTGGTATGGCACCACGAGTTGAGTAACGGCTTTGCGTTTGAGTAGATCACCAGATCCACGCTCCATGGCTCTCTGCTCCCACGCGGCCGTTGCTCCTTGTCCCCTACACGCTCACGTTCGACCCTATCTCAATTTTTTTTATTTTTATTGTTTTAAACTTATGGGGGTGAAACGCTAGCACTTCACCTGAACTCCCGATCCATCCGTTGCTTCACTTCGGTCTGTAAAGCTGTGCGCTGTTAATCTACGGTGAGCAAGGCACGCTTTTTAGCATGCATTTAGACCACCATACCCTTCTATATATGTGCGCTTTTTAGTTGCGTCCTTGAGAAGGTTTCATAAATCAAATGTTTATCGACATAGCACCCATTGGATGCAGCACGTCAAGAACCCCACAAGCGTTATGAGCCGCCACTTGCACAATGCGGAAACACATGCTGGAAATGCTCTGCAAATATATCAAATCAAATTTTTGTACAAACGCATAAAAGGTGCGTGCAGGTCCCTTTTCTTGCCGAAGGTGACCGCCCTACGTAATTTTCACTTAAAGTTTGCTGTGAAGACGGAATCGGCTATGAAAGGGTGTTCGGCGCCATATCTAGCTCTTGGTGCTCCTTGAACTTTCTCGTGCCTTCAGGCTTTTTCTGGTTACGCGATCGCTTAAGGGTGTGAGGATCTAGAGACGTGATCTCCAGCGCCTTTTGTACTTTGTTGTGCTGTGTTTCCCGATTTCAACTTCTGTCGGCGCAGGGAATCCATGACAGCCTGCCGCTGCCGTTTCCAGGCCTGTGCCCTCTTCCGCCTCTGCTCTTCCATCGTTTTAAGCGCGAGACGCATCTTGCCTCTGCGCCGCTGCTCTTCAGGCAACGTTTCTGAGTGGCTTTTCCGCCACGTTCTTTCTAACCTTTCAAGATAAGGCCAGATGAAGGCGCAGTGAGCAACCTTCCAGCAGTCAGTGAAAATAAACCAGACAATGCCCCAGAGAATTGTTATTCCAGCGTGGCCCCAAGAGACGCCAACCATACTTGGTCCTGACGAAACCTGCCACTCAGTCCTCCAGTAAACTGAAAGGAACAGAGTTAGCAGGATAGCCAAAATTTGAGGTGTTAGGACAATTAATGATGGAGGACGATTTTCTGCGCTGTAAATTAGCCCAAAGTTGCGGGTACGGCAGCTGTGGAAACTGAACTGAATGCATAAAGTGAACAACAGCCAGACCCCACAAGTAGTTTGAAGGCTCTTCGGCATTTTCCCGTAGGTCACGGTGTCGGATTCCTGGAAGCGCTCTAAGCCGAACGCTTCCCACCAGTTCACTCCATACCTTGGATCGGACAAGTATATATACAGTAACAAGCTTATAGCCATGAGCGTTGCAGTCAGAAAAGCAATGGATGACACTTGAAGCATCGACCAGATCAGTGGCTTGCTAGACGATGGGACGTTATCTCGGGAACAGCTCATGAGCACGAAATCATTTATAATGGCAACAAGCACCAGCACCCAAGTGGGATATTCGTAGTCAAAAATGACTACACAGCCCCACCAAAAGAACAGGGTCATAAAGCTACTATGGATACGAAAAGTGATGTACGCCTCGATGCGCTTGAAAATCTGGCGGGACAAACTAAAGACGGTGATAATGCTGGACAAACCCGGCTCGAGCAGAATTATATCCGCTGCTGCGCGCGCCGCTTCCGTTGCGCCACTGACTGCAATCCCTACAGTTGCCCTTTTCAGTGCAGGTGCATCGTTGACTCCGTCACCTGTCATGGCAACAAGGCGGCCGCCTTGCTGCAGGTTGTCAACAATTTCGAATTTGTGTTCAGGGAATACTCCAGAAAAGCCATCCACATTGCCAATGTACTCTCGGAAAGCCACGTCACTCTCCATGCCTTTCGGCCTGGAACGGAATATCTCTGGCCCAGAGATGTTGTCGCCAAGCCCTAAGAGCCTCGCTGTCTCTGCCGCAATCGCCTGCTGGTCCCCTGTCAGCATTTTCACGCTTATTCCCATATGTTTCGACCGTTCTAAAGTCTCCCTTGTGTCGGGTCGTGGAGGGTCCATCAGGCACAAAAAGCCAACGAAATCCCATGTGGTGTCGCTGACACTCTCAGAGGCCTCTTCGATAGTCTTGACGGCTTCATTTCCGAGTCGCTTAATAGCAACACCCAGGGTGCGTAGGCCTCTTCTGGCTTTATCCTCAATAATTGACTGAAGCGCTTGGCGTTTCGCTGAATCGTCAGGTGCACAGACTAGCTCACTTATTATGTGAGGTGCACCTTTCGTGACCAAGAGGATTTCGCCCGATTTCGACCGCACGATACTTTCAGCACGTTTGTCCACCGGATTGAAAGGTGTGTAGTCAAGGACAGTAAAATTCGCCCGTTCATTCATATCTACAACTGAGTTGATAGCCCTATCAATGGCGTCGGGGTCTGTCAGGCTTGCTGCAAGTGAGGCGTAGACCAGTAGTTGATCAATGGTGTGACTGGCCTCAACGAAGATCTCATCTCTGGACAAACTAAGAATGTTCAGCGTGAGAGTGCCAGTTTTATCGGTGCACAAGACTTCAACGCCAGCTGCTTCCTCTATGGCCGACAGCCTTGACACCACTGCATGCTCCTTGCTCATAGCTACAGACCCCACGGCAAGCACCGTTGTAGTGACTACTGGCATGGCAGCAGGGATTACGGCAGCAATCAGAGTGAAAGCGCGCTTGAACAGGGAGCCGACGTTAACATTTCCGCTGCTCATCTGTATCCAGACAGGGTGAAACGCCTCCCAAAATATGAGGAAAACGGCGAATCCCACAGCTGTCAGTGTCAGTACTTTTGAGGCCTTATCGAGAATCGTTCGCAGGTGACCCTTTGCCTCTGCTCGAGCCAGGAGTGCTATAGTTTTGCCGTAGAAAGACTGAGCTCCGGTCCTTTGTACTAGCATTGCTCCTTCCCCCCGCTGCACCACGGAGCCACTGAGCAGCTCGGCTCCTCTGTGCTTCTTAATCGGTACTGATTCCCCAGTAAGTGCTGACTCATCCACTGTTAAATATTTTTGTGGCGGTATGAACACTCCGTCTGCTGGAACGACCATTCCTGCTTTCAGCCAAACGACATCGCCTGGAACTAAATCAACAACATTGATGGTGATATACGAGCCGTCACGCTTGGTGCTGCACTCTACCGCCGCCAGTTTCTCCACAGCGCTAATCGCATTCGATGCTGATCGTTCTCCAAGATAGTCGGCCCAGACCATCACGTTGCAGAGAAACAACAGAAGACTAAACGAAATCCAGTCTCGCTTTTCGCCAACTTTAATGCACACAGACAAAAGGCAGGCTATCATTAGCAAGATGGGCGTCACACGCATGTACCGCTCTAGAACCTTCTGCCACTCAGCAATCTGCGCGCAGGAAACCATGGTCAGAAATACAGCGGCCACGCCAATGACGCCAGTTAGCTTCACAAGTTCTATACAGCAACGTTTTCTTTCACTACTGCTGCCTATCAGCCAGAGCCTACGGAGCTGATACTTTTTGCCAAGACCTCCGTAGCTAAATCGCAAGCTCGCTCTACTCGTCTCCGCGTGCCAAAATCCCCTCTATTGGCAGTATATTGTAGAGCATTATACTGCGGGAAATGGCATGGACACAGCTGAAATTTTCGCTGCGCCACTTTACCCCACCTGCTTTGGCTTGACAGCATTTGGACCGAAGACTGACCGAAGCTCTTCAACACGATCAGTCGTGAGCCCAGTGTCATTGAGTTCTTCCATATCTACTGCAGATTTAATACATATAGCTGTTTCTTGATTTTGTTCAGTTACGCTAGTAGGATGCTGGTAAAAATTGTCTCTAGGCCCCTGTCGCTCAAGTTCTTTAGGACTCTGGTGTTCGGTCCCCTCGAGCGGTCCAGTTGGCTCGGCCTGCTCTCCATTGGCTAAATATTCACTATGTTCATGTCCAACTGAAGCATGTTCGCCATTTTGAGGTGTGCTGCCTGGCTGGACGGCCTCCAACAAGGCTTGTTGGTTGGGGTCTTCCATTGCCGACCCACTCGTAACGGGTCACGTTTAGCCTCTACCGACGTTTGAAGCCCTACCCTAATTGTTCTGCAGTCAGCGGAGGCCAGACACGAGGGCATCTACTGCGTCGCCCGTGCTGTTCTTTTAGCACACCAAGTCGTTGCTTTCTGTTTTTGTAACAACTGAGAGTACCTCGGGGACAGAAGCATGCACCACTGGTAGACTCTTTGACGGAACGACTGACCAAAATATGTATTTGGGTACTGGCCTTTGAATCAATGGCCGTGTAGGACACTGACCTGCGCTTGCTTAGGAAGTCTCTAGATAAATCGATGCTCACCACTAATCCATCCACAGAGCCGGTAGTGCGAGCTCATGACCACAAGGCGAGACCGGCCTTCCGCTGCTCAACCAAAATGTTATTGCATGGGTTAGAACCCGAATCGCCCCACTTTTAAGCTGAACACGGTATTTCTTGGCGGTTGTTGAAAGGCAGAGGGCAGTGCGCACCGGGGCTGTGAAGCCGTCGATTCCGACAGTCAGCCTGCCCATCAAAGCTGGACAGAACGTCGTTATTGAACTGTAAATGTGAGACGACTTTGTGACATTTTTGGAGCTACTCAGCAAAAGCAGCTGTGGGAAATGTTACCGGCCAGATCTCTACACAGACACCAAACTCTGCTCCATAGTGGGGGCGAGTGACCTTATAGTAAGTTCTTCTGCGTACACCCGAACAATACTTCATAAATTGGATCTGGGCTAGTTCCAAAGGAACGTTTATGGCGGTCGGCGCCTTTTTGGTACCTGCCTCACTGCGGAATGCCAGGATGCACTGTCACCAAGTGACCTTGCCCTGAATTACAGACGAAGTCGCCATTTCAGGGATTCAAAAGGTGAATGGACTACTGGGCGTTTACCCTGCTGGTACATATGCATATCTCTTGGGTCTTTTCCACATATAGGTAATACTGTGCTTGTTCAGTTTCACGCAGCACGACGGTGCAACTATGAAAGCAGTACTGTACAAACAAAACTACTGCCAACAGAGCTATCCTCAGAACTTAAACATTATAAATCTATACTAGCAATACCTCCCTTCATCACTTGTGAGCAGGTGGTGGGGCGTGCGATTCTAGTCGTTTCCTGCACTCTTGTTTCTGTGGCAGGTTTTCTCTTTCTTCCCCCTTTCTCGCGTCTTCTGCTCTATAGCCTACTTTAAACTGTAGGCTTGAGGCTTGCGGGGAGTCTTTGAAAAATTGGTGGAGAGGCTAGAGACCGTTCACGTAGCAGATGCTGTACCACTCATGAACTAACGATGCTCTTACATCATTGTGATTGTGCACTGCAGCTTTATTCGTAGAATCTAATATGTCAATTCAACAGACACGAACTGGAGGCACAAATGACGAGGGCATCGGGGCTATGTGTGAACCGCTCTTCTTAGCGGGAAGCGAGAGAGGCCTTGTGGCCGAGACTGTCTTTTTAAGCGGCTTCGCGCTTCTAAACAGGCGGCTCACTTTGGTATAGCAACTTTAGAATAACCGCAGCCTTTAGGTAATACTCTACCGATGAGCCTCCTTGAGGATAACGAAGTGCATTACATTAGCCATAAGCTTGCAATTTCGAGCACCACCCAAACTAGACACAAAAGTTGATTCATTTGGGTTTCTTAACCAGAAACCGGTGGGTGAAGTATTCGAGCAATGGCTTTCATGAGCTAACGCAACATGTATGCAGGAGTGGAGCATTGTAGTATGTTTTTTTTTGGATATTTCGTCAAACTGAGTCCAAGGCAACCCTTTTGTTTCGTGCTTATTACGGCTCTGCATTTTTGTGAACGTTGCAGCTTTCTAAAGGCACGAGCCATAGGCACCAGATGTGTAAAAGGGAGTGCGCCACTGGAATTCTGCATTGCTCAAGTAAGGATTTGGCAGAATTTTACTTGGAATACTCCACAAGAAGCCCTTGGTTTTTTCTACTTGCCTAGTGGAGCTTATTGGTGCGGCTCCTTGCACCCGCCAGTGTACTGACCCAAAGAAGAGCTTAGTCGAAGACTTGTATATTCAGTCGTTCAAAAGCCTTTCAATTTTGTGGTGCCGCAAGATAGAGTATTGCAGGTCGCGAGTGCGCTGTATCAGACCTTTCGCGTTCAGGGCGGAAGAATCTTTTCTTAATGGAAAACTCTGAAACGCCTTGGGCGCAGCTAGCTTGCGTTAATAGAGCGGTCTTCTGATGGCTGCCGCAAGGTCCACCGGTGAAGCGCTCATCACAGCTCCGCGTCATGCGCTTCAAGGTTTCCAGTTGCTGATGACGGCTCCAATGGAGAAGCCTACTTCCATCGGGGGACTGTCTATGGGCCTCCTCCTTGTTGCATGAGGAGGCGGCGTAGTGGTGGAGGAGCTACGCAGTGCTTTAGCTTTTTTCTGAAGCAGATACTTTTCTGGGTCAACAAGATGTACTATGGGGGGCTCACTTGAGGGACCTGACCGGGCAGCCGATTGTTCAGTAACTGATTCTTGAATGCAATAAACTGCCATCGGGTCTACCTTTGTAGTGTTCTCTCTTGACTTGTCGTATTCAACTTGCCGGTTGTTGAAGCGAAGCGGCCGTGGCTGTTCAGCCTGCAGCTTCCCTTGGAGCGACAAGCTTTTCAACTCTTCAAGAAATTCAGCAAGAGCAGCACGAAGCGGGGCGAAATATTCGCTGCTTACTAATCGAGTTTCCATTCCTTCGTCGGCCGGAGCATCCAATGGAGTCTCTCGGTAACGCCTTCTTGCTGTGTCCCACCCTGGCAACTGTTACAGGGAAGACAGGCTCCAGTGGGCAGATTGAAAAAATTATCATCATGCTGCTGAGTGTTATCTTGGTTGCCTGCGACACTATTTCATTATTCATTCTTGAAAGGTGCTCAACAAACGCGGCAAGACCGCTTGTCCATCTACCGTTTACCTTGTACTTTCCTGGGAAAAAGTCGAACGGGCCAAGCGTGCTATTCGTCGGAAATGCATCATCTGGTCCTTCAGGTTCAGCGCGGCAGTACCCTTTAAGTGATGTAGCTGCCAGTATTCGTGGAACATGTTGCTGCAGCGCTAGGCCGTCACCATGCAAAGGGCTGCTGCCTATCACACTCGGGGAATTTCGCTTCTAAAAGACAGCAAAATGGGGACAGAAGCAATGCAGCACTTACCTGATACTTACCCGATAGTCAACTGCACTCCTATTGGGTGTGTTGGACAGTACCGAAATTTAGATATGCTTTCTTAGAGTGAGCAGACCACTGATCACTTGCTTACCTGGTATCTGGCCTCCAGAGCTTGAATAATATTTTCCGCTGCGGCTAAACGTCTTTTCCCAACATACTGAATATGACAGCAGATTTCAATAGGGTCTGGGCGCGTCGTAAGTAACTGCATCCTAGAGGGGACTTCAGCCCCCTACGAGGAAAAAGCAAAACCTTCAAGGGAAATCTAGTAACTTAAAGTCACTCCTAGGTGAGCCTCCAATGCAATAGAACATACTCGGTAGTGTTTCGTTCTGACTTGGTAGAACTTGTGGTCGTTGACATCCGTGTCGTATTCATCCATCCACTCGGTGCCAACAGAGCTATCAAAGAGCACGAAACCCAGGGCGATTTCTGACTGAGAAATACAAACAAAGTTTGTCCCAAGCTATCCGCCGGAACGTTGAGATAACAAGAACTTTCTGAATTTCTGGGTGTGTTCAAAACGGTGTGGCGTGTCTTTGCATCGCTGTTCGCCACCTAAATGACCCTCGTGCACAGTGAAGGTACAGCCACACCATCAGAAGCGGAAGGAAATACTTGCGGGTGACGAAGTTGCTATGGGATACAACGACTGTCTTTGCTAGAGACACGCCCAAGCAAGATTCCAGTCCGTTTTTGAGGAAGTTCGCTGGGCTCCAAAATCCTCCGCCGTCTTCCTCTACCTGTGTTGTGTTTCCATGACCAGGCGGTGATATCGCTATGGCATCAAAGTCGTGATCATACGACACTAAGGGAGAGCAACCAAACACACAGAGCAAACCACATTCCTAGCTACATGCTCTCGAGAATATTTTTCACCGAATTGCAGTGATTAACTACCTCGCACCTTCATTGCCTTAGTGCATCTGGAACCCGTGCACAGAGTAGCTCACAGTCTAGCAACCCCATGATGTCCCAAGTGTTTGCTCTGGAAAGGCCGATGAATGCAACGGTACCGAAGACTTCCTCGTTTAAAATGTGTGTTTCTGGGGACACGCAGGCCCCAGAAATTCACGTAAAGATGCCAGATTTGATCTGCAGCCGGACTGATGCTACTTGAAGTGCGTTGGTGGGCCTTGAGCAAAGCCGTTTAAGACGGAAAACTTGATATCCCAGGTGAATTCTAATTCTAGTGATGAGTCTTCCAGAACTGTAATGCCGCCTTACTGCTGGAGTGTTCGATCTTCAAGCTGATGCCGTACGGCCCACAGGTCGTAGTGGTAAAGATATTGTACGGATTTGACCACACTGCGTCCCCTGACTCGTTCCCAGAAGAATCAGCTCCGTCTGGCATGTTTTCCTCGATTGCTGTACCATAAAATTAAGGCCTTAGTGACAAATTCAAACATTTATGCTTTCAATGAAACAAAAGCGAAGTTTCTCAAACACTGCTGCGGTCTCTATAAGCTGCCCAAAAGTATTGCCACTAAGCTGGAGCTGACCCCTTAACTCGATAGCTAGGGCAACAGCTAGGCCAATTAGAATTGAGCAGACTATCAGAGTAAACAAAGCGCAGCTCAACCATGCAAGCTGCACACAGAAAAACAAAACATATCCCTAAGCAAAGCTCAGCTCAACCATGCACACAGAAAACAAAACATATCCCTTGTGTTTTTGTTCACATGCCATCTAGCTCGCTAAATTGATGCGAAAGAAGGCCCATTGTATTGATACAGCCACTGTATGCATTGCATGCCACGCCACGGCAGCTTGTCCATCACATAGGACCTGAGAAGCAAGTTTCTCACCGCTTTCACCACACTTTGCCTCCTTTTGATCGAGCATAAGCTCATGATCACTCCTGTTCACAAGCTAGCAAAGACAGAAGAAAATGAAGATCAAGCGAAAACAAAGTTACTGTGCCATGACGTGGATTCAAGCGAAAAATCACTAGTTGCTCTGCATGGGGTTGCATGCGTCCTTCTGACTTTGCCGTGATCAGCGCCTGCCTAACTTCGCTGGAACTTCATCATTTGAAAAAGTCACTGACATAGGGCACCAACATCTGAGGCAGCATTACTGAAGCTTATTTCACTGGTTGCCACTCTCTCTGCAATCTGTCACGGGTGTTTGATTTATTTATGAGACTACTTTTTGCAAGAGAGCATCTGGATCGCAGCCAGTTATCTTTAGTCGAACTGTAGGTGAATTGTAGTGACGGATTTGCTGTGAAAGCGTGTGTTACCATTTTCAACTGACCGATAAACAGAGGCATTCCCAGCGGACAACAAATCAAGGCCCACCGTATTCTGAATTAAAAACAAAACCCCTAGCAACGACGTGTGCAGTGCAGCAGGTTGCACTACGGAAACGCATGAAATTGTGTAAGACGCCGACACAGAGGATGAAGAGATGAGCGGCGTGGCAGCGTACGAATGCTGTCACCCGTATGTGTTGCGTGTTACTACTGACATTTTTTCGTCTTTTCTCATATCATCTCTCCATGGGCATCGGCAGAAGAAGTTTCTGCACGTAAGTGGAATGTCAGGTGCTTCGGGTGTTTCTTCAGGGAGGTCGTCGTCCCTCGCGGCGAACGCCGCAATAACCTCGTCAAGTTCATGACTGTTATCGGGATCGTTGGCCATAAGCCACTTGAGATCTGGAACCTCAGCATTTTCGTTGCCAAGTTGCATCTGAATTAGAGCAATCTGCTCCTGCATCAACTGGTAACGCTGGGCTACTGCCATATCTTGCACAGCCTGCTGTTCCTCATCTAACTGTTGCAAGAGCCTCTCCATTTCAGCGGCCTCTTCCTCCTCCACAATGCGCTGATATTGAGCATGATATGGCACGGAAGTCATGTTCTCGAACTCAATAGAGCTTGGCGATCGCTTCACAGGACATATTCTTCCAATTTCAGTCGATGAGGAATCGTCGGAGGCATCAGAAGAGCACGAGATAACGTGAACTGCTACCTCGTTCATCTGCGCATCCTCTAGGTCGGCATCTTCGACATCCCATGTCCCACTGTCCCGTGCCTGTCGCTTAGCTCGGAGCTGTTCAAGGAGAATAAGCGCTCCGGCTGGTGTTTCCTTGGACTGAGCATCTGCCGCATTTCTTTCCCCACCTTTCTGGGCTTCGCCGTCAAGCTCTTGCTTTGGATTGTCTGATGTTTCTTCGGTAGCCGGAGCTGTTTCCGAGGCGTTCGATGATTGATTGGTGCCACCTTGTTGAGTGGGTTGAAGCTCCTCATGCGAGGAGACTGGCTTGAAACTATCCATTGGGAAAGGCTCTTCTAGTACTCATGCAGTTTCAAAATCTTACACTCGCTTTCTTGTGGAGGAGGAAGACTGCGCTTGTGGTCGAACACTTCGATTACTTGACTTATCCGAACTTATCAAATCTGTGCACGTTTTCAATGCTGAATGTGGTTATTTCAGTATCACTACGCTAGTAGTAAATTGACATGAAATCTTATAGAGCTCTTTTCTCTGGAAAATGATTAGCCTCGCCTGTGCCGCGCTCTTTAATCAAACAGACGTTATGGAGGTACCGGTATGAACTGGCTGCGCATGCAATCTGCTAAGCTGGATTCACGGCTCTTCCAGCATAAAAAAAGCACCTTTTGCTCACAAAACTTCAATTTTAGATGCAGCGACTGTGCAAGAATCACCAAACTGCGTCTCACATCACCGCCGGTCCATGCGCGGTACCTTCCTGTGCAAAAGTGTAATGAGCTTGGCAGAAACTGAAATTTTTTTTTACGGTACATAGACCGTAGAATACCTAAACTATCACTAGTTTCTGCCAAGTCCCTCAGGCCAATTCCAGGGAGTGTCCTCAAGAAGATCATTCGGTGACCTCAGTGACCCTGGCGAGGGATGTCGACTGGGATGAGCCGAATCATGTAGCGTGAGGATGAGCTGTTCCTAGTACTGCTTCATGCGCTAGCTTGTTTCTCAATGTCGAAGAAAAAAATATTTTCGATGAAAATGACGGATTTATTCGCCGACATGTGCCACCGTCCCAACAAGGATTTGCCGTTCACGGCATCGCGCTACTTGGAATTCCCTCCATATTACCTTGATTTTGTTTACATTGGCTGATGGACCAACCAAAATTCCCAACAGCAGCAATCCAAGCCTGCTGAAAGATTATGGTTTGCTTTCGGACGATTCGACTGATGCTGGCTTATCCAGCATTGGGCAATATTGTTTAGTGGCTGAACCTGAAGTTTATGCAACCGCTGTGCAATGCATGAATGCAAAAGCACTAGCACAAGATGACCACAAGTCTCATCGATCCTGGAATCGTTTTCTTGTTGCTGTGAGGTGCCACGGGATCTCAAAGGGCAAAGGTGTCCAATTTCGCCCACAGCCTGGACTGGCATCGTCTGTTGTCCGGCAAAACGGCGACACGCCTGTTTCTCTTCAACCTTTGACTGCATATTTGAGCATTTTAACACCACAAGTGAGCACATTTCCAGCTACATCCCATTTCCAGCGGTGTATCATGCAGCTGCATAGACCATCAGCGCACCGCATGCCTTCACCACAGTGCAATCCTGCGTGCTTCCTGATAATAAACATGAACATGCCTGAGTAGATTATGTAATTATGCTATGGGCCTTGAACGAGCCTCATGTGTGAGAAATTTATGCTGTACTTCAGCAAAATAGCCGTGCTATCATCTGTAAGTTGGATGTGCTCTGTCCATAACCAGGATTTTTCACTTTTCACTTAATGGAATCAAAGGCCTGTAATACCTACAACTTGATCTGACCCGGTGAATATCCGTGAGCTGCATCAGTGGATTGGTTCATCTGACCAGAAACAATTCCGCCGCTTCTATATGACGTTAATCCCACACGCAAAATGATGGTAAGCAGGTATATTCTCGGCATGCGGCCAAATTCTATACCTTAATTTTTTTTACACTGATTTATATAAAATGCAATATTTGCATAATGTGGAGCTACGTTAAAGTCCCGATTTCTTGGTTCGGGTGCACTACCAACTACGGGGACGTAGAAGAGCAGCCTGCTTTTCGACTCGCAAGCATAGACGCATGGGCTGAGTGGGCTGAGGCTCGGATCACGCTCGCATATGCAGGGACATTTCGTCCCAACGTGAGTCTTGAAGTTTCCGATACGGTTAAGACGTGCCAGTTGCTATGAAAAGGCACAAGAATGCGGTAGGCCCCGGATTACGCTCACGCATCTGAAGTGCTTCTGCCGAAACGTGAGCTTCAAGTTTTCTGTACTGTCACGGCATGCTAGTCGCTATGGAGAAGCCTTGTTGTGGCGAAAGCTTTGCGAGTGCGAAGCACCCACGACCAACGTTATTTGCGGGAAGGAAGCCCTTGTATATAAGGGTTTTGCTTGCTTCGGAGCAAGTGCTTGCTCTTGCTTTGACTCAGCGGCAAAGGCAAATGAGCCGGCAACAACCCACTGGGCACCTTGTTCGCGCTATCTCGTTAACAAACTCTGCATAAGAAACTTTGCTATCTCCATTTTTATCGTAGCGGTTGACAAGGGCCTTAAGTTCGGCCTCCGAGGGACGGAAGCCATGGGCTGTCAGAGACGCTGAAAACTCTGCGGCCGTGATGTATCCGTCACCGTTCCTGCAAAAAAACACACTGGAGCAAAAAAAAACATGAGAACTCGATACAATGTTTGGGCACAAAATAGGTGGAGATACTTATGAATAGGGGCTTTTTCAGCTTGCATTGGGCGCTGTACTTGTCCAAGTTGCGGAATGCTGAAGAAAGATCCTTCAAGCAAAGACGATGTCTCGAAATCTCGGCTTGTTCTTCAGACTGAGTTGTCAACAAGCAAGCTGACAGCTTTTCGCATGCCACAATGGTCAAATGTTTCCGAAAGTTTAACGTCTCGTGGCCGTGCTCATGCTGGTTTTACTTCATGAAAGCACGTAATCCCACCAAGGCTCGTTGACAGCATATTTGCCATTCGCGTGTCACTATGCTGTTTCAACGCTTAAAACAGCCGCGTGTTGACATAACTCGCTTACCGCAAGAGTTAGGTCGAATATCGAAGCAACGACTTCGAGCGTTTCGGGGGCCAGGTGCGTCAGGGGCGCTGGGCATCTGTGACAGCCTGTGCTTGTGCGGTTGATCATGGCCTCAGCATACCTCGCCTTTGTGGGAAGGAAGGCCTTTGCCATGTCAGCGTATCTCAAGCGCGGCTCTGCATCGCTGTTTAGTTTTCCAGCAAAAAGACGCGCCTGTGTGAGAGATATGTTTAATCCAACAGCATTGAAGGCCTCCTGTACATGCACGGCTGTTGCATACCCCCTCCCTTCTCTGTCGAAAAGTCCCCAGAACTGCAAGAGATTGAAGTCAGACTTCAGGGCCAGCTTCTCTCTCAGGAGCTCCAGCCTTCTTTCTGTGTCGATTTGTGAGTTTAAAACTCCTGCCACTTCGCATTCGCTTGCTATTAAACAGTCTTTCCTTTCTGTATTGCTGTCGCGCAGTTGGAAGCTGTCCTTACTCTCCAGGTAACCGCATCCTCCACACAGGTAACTTTTCAGCGTGCCGGTTGATGAGTATCCCCTGCGTAACGGCAGCGTTTGCTCCCCAATAGAGCTGCTGTTGGAGCTGCTGCTGCGCAATTCGCTGGATTTCGGGTGACGTTGGAGGCGGCTGCTGCTGCTACTCCGCACCAACGAGCTTGGATAGCAATCACACAATGAGGTGCCGAAAGAACAGATGCATCCCTGATATCCCTACACAACTCAAAGCAAACGCATACCTTGTCCTCCAATCGTATGCTGATGATGTTGGATTGAGAGTTAATGAGAAAGGAGAAACAGGAGAGATGAGCGTGAAGGGTTTGGAAACGTTTGTAACTGCAGCTGGAAAAAACAATGCAAGCACACTATCAGTACCTTGCAGGGCTTTGCAAAGATCTCAGATGCAGGAACATTTTGCCCCTGCCACTGAAGTACCACGAAATATTTGAGAACAGCACTACATACCACAGGCAAAGGGTCGGTAGAAATCCGGGTCTCTGGGTAGCTTGAAGGCATTACCGCCTCTACAAACTCCAAGTACTTAATCCGGCCATCACTGTCCCTGAAACATATAAGCGAATTCGACTGGTTAATGCGAATCTTGCTCCACTGTGCCACTACATGAAGAGGGATTGCAGCACTGACAAACGTACGATAGTACTACAGAGGGGACGCTCTGTAGTACTATCGTACGTTTGTCAGTGCTGCGGACGCCACACTTGTCGAAAAATCAAGCATGCTGAGTACCAATCAGCGTGGCTGCTATCCATCACATTGGCTCTTGCTCCAATGCCACTAGAGCAAGAGACAATGTGATAGATAGCAGCCAAAAATAGATGAGTGGTATGATGACCTGTCGAGTCTGCGAAATATTAGCTTTTGATCCATTTGTGTCAGGACGAAGCCTTCCTCCGCAAGTGCTTCTGCCAGTGACAGTGGAGTTACAGAAGCAATGCTAGGATCTTCAACGAATTGGAAGGCGGCGAGCAGCAAAAAGTCTGGCGAATCAGAGAGAATTCGCCTCCTAATTTCCAAGGCGCGATGCGCATCAATCTCACGCTGCAGCAGCTGAGCGACGCAAACGTCGCCTGTGCTCCAGCTGTAGTCGGACTCCCTCTTGTCAGCAGAGTAGCAGCAGCAGCAGCAACAGTAACAAACGGAACAGCTGCGTCTTGGAAGGCGCAAGGAACGCTGGTCTCGACTGAGTAAGAGCTCTCTTTCCGACGAACTCATGGGCAGCAGAAAGTCAATGAACCTTGCGAGACAACAGCAATTCAACTGCGTACGGCTCTGCATCAACGTCCACTGCATCTGAAGTGTGCTTTTTACCAATCCTGTGGTGAAGCGTTTTCTTCATTAAACGCTTATCCTGCTAACATGACTCACTGCCGTGGAAACGAGCAGGTGATAGTTGGTTCTAAAAGCCTAGGAAACTCACTCAGGGAAAGAGACCCTCCCATCCCCATTCGTGTCGAGGCGTCTGAGAAGGTTATATGCCTCAGAATCCGTCACTGCAACCCCATGGTTCTTTAGGTACCTTTGGAGGTCTCCGCCTATTTAAGGAAACATGGTTGTGCAGCGACAAGGGCCACAACTACTGGTTACAAGCGTAGTGGTCACTGGGCGATGGCGAAATATCGATATGCTTACGCCACACGAACCTGAGCTCTAAGCCAGAACTCCACATGATTTACTAATTAGTAGGGAATCCGCAGTGAAGAGCGTGATTTACTGGTGAGGAAGCCGTTCCC